CCTTGAAGTGATAAGGCTAAGATAGGCTGCTTATCCCTTAGAGATACTAGGAAATTTAGAACACAGGTGTTGAATTATGTCCGAAACCCAAGTCCTGCTGTTCTGCATTGTTTTCACATGTATCTGAAGAGCAGCATTTTCTTAAATTTATACTTTTAGACCTGTGGTTTTGCTTGTAGTAGTCTTTTCATCCTTTAGCTTTTTTAATTCAAAGTTAGGATGTACTGTTTGATAAATGTAAGTAAAAAGAATCCGTTTTCTGATTACTAAACTGAGACTTCAGAACTTGTATCCTATTCCACTTTTAATATCTGCAGATGGAACACATAACTTTTATAAGACTCAATTTGTCATAGATTTGTCAACCTGTATTCCAGTCCTTCATACCAGGTCCCCTCTTCCCAGATATGTTGCATACACACAAATAAACTTTAAATATGGACCTTTTCTTGGAAAAGCTGCATTAATTTGGAATATTCTCAAACATATAAGTTGCATTTTAAAAGGCATACTGAAAAAAAAATAAAAGGCATACTGAATGATTCTTGAGGCCATTATGCAAAGTGAAATAAGTCATTCACAAACAGACACTGTATAATTCCACTTGTATGAGGTCCTGTATGAGGTCCCTAGAGAGTAGTCAGACTCAGAGGCAGAAGATTAGAAGCATGGTTGCTGGGAGCTGGGTGGAGGGGAGAATGGGGACATGTTTTTTAAAGAATATAGTTCCAGTGTTGCAAAATGAAAATAATTCTGGAGATTGGCTGCCCAACATGAATACACATAATACTTGAACTGTAGACTTAAAAATGGTTAGGATGCCAAATTTTATGCTACTACAATTAAAAAAAAAATAGTGTCTGTCACAAAGCCATTTCTCCCAACTTGGTGGTTTTGAGAATGTCTTGTCTATTCTTTGCCCTTTGCATTTTTCATACACACTTTAAGTTGACTTGTCAGCTTCCACATAGAAAACTGTTAAGATTTTGATTAGGATTGCATTGATCAGTTTGGGAAGAAATGACATCTTTACATTAGTAAGCCATCTAGTTTATAAACATGATAAATACATCCCTAAATTTATTTGTCTTTCAATTTTTCTCAAAAACATTTTATAAAGTATTCAGTGTAGAATGCTTGCATATCTTTTTTTAGATTTGTTCCTAGAAATTTGTTATTTTTGACAGTGTAGTAAAAAGTAACTTTTTAAACAATTGTTTCTAATTCTTTATATTTGTAGAAATGGCTCATCTTTTTAAACCATCTTTAAATGTTTCTAAGCATACAATTTGTTCGTGTTAAGTACATTCACAGAACTCTTTGGTCTTACACAATGAAAACTGTTCCCATTAAACAATTCACCATGCCTCCCTGCCCCAATCCTTGGTAATTACCCTTCTACTCTCTATCCGTAGGGTCTGACTGTTCTAGGTACCAATTATAAGTTGAATCATACAAGTATTTGCATTTTTTTTTAAGACTGATTTATTTTGGGATCCCTGGGTGGCGCAGCGGTTTGGCGCCTGCCTTTGGCCCAGGGCGCCATCCTGGAGACCTGGGATCGAATCCCACATCGGGCTCCCAGTGCATGGAGCCTGCTTCTCCCTCTGCCTATATCTCTGCCTCTCTCTCTTTCTCTGTCTGTGACTATCATAAAAAAAAAAAAAAGACTGATTTATTTTACTGTAACAATATTCTCAAGGTTCGTTCATGTTGTAGTATATGTCAGAATTTCTTCCCCTTTTTAAGGCTGAATAATTTTCTGTTGTATGTATATGCCACATTTTGTTTTATCCATTTTATCCATTCATCTGTTGGTGGATGTTTGAGTTGCTTCACTTTTTGGCTATTTTGAATAAATGCTGCTATGAAGGTGAATAAACAAATGTCTCTTTGAGAACTTGCTTTCAGTTCTTTGAGGTATGTATCCAGAGGTGAACTTGGTAGATCTTGTGGTATTCTATTTAAAACTTTTCTAGGAATCACCATACTTTATTATTTTTATTTTTATTTTTAAAATATTTTATTTATGTATAGAAGAGAGAGAGAGAGAGGCAGAGACACAGGCAGAGGGAAGCAAGCTCCATGCAGGGAGCCCCATGTGGGACTTGATCCCGGGACTCCAGGATCACGCCCTGGGCCAAAGACAGGTGCCAAACTGCTGAGCCACCCAAGGGTCCCCTATACTTTCTTTAATTGCACATCATTTTACATTCCCACCAGCAGAGCCCAGGGATTCTAAAAGTAGTTGTTAGGTTTTTAAAATATTGACCATGTATCTTCAGTGTTGCTATGCTCACATTATTCTAATAATGTGTAGGGTCTTTGGACTTTCTATATATAAAACCATCTGTGAATAATGACAGTTTTGTTTCTTTTAATGGTATATAAATTGAATTCTAGATGGCAGTGAAAAGTGAATGTATTATAGCTTCATGCACTAATGTGAATTATTCTTAGGTAAAACATTGAATTAAAGAAGCCAAAGTTTAGAGACAAAATTAAGTAAAATATTATCAATATGGGTACATACATGGGGGTAAAACTAGACAGAGTCAAGGTGGTGGTTACCACTAGGGGTGGAAGAGGAATGTAGCCAGGGATCGACTCAAGGAGGCTTCTAAGTTACAGCAGTATTCTTTTATTTAGGTTATTCTTTCAACTGTATATATTTTATAAACTTATATGTGTGATGTTTCATAATGAAAATCTTTAAGGTGAAATTGGAAAATGTAGGCCTGTCTCACCATATGTAGAAGAAAAATTCTTTATTGTTTTTTTAAAGGTATATTAAAGGAAGCATTAAATATGTAAAAATACTTCTAAATTAATAATTTTACCTACAATGAATGCATGAACCTCAGGAGTTTCAGTTAAATTGATTTCCACACCTTGAGCCCTCTGTAAATATCAGATTCTTTTTTGGAAGTCAAAAGTAACTGCTAAATAGAAATTCTTGGCTTTTAAAAGATAATTGGAAAATAATTGGCTTGGTTCCATTTGCTAACACTTTTGAGTAAATGTAATGTGCCCGAGAAATTCTCCCAATCTAATAATAGGCTGTTTGAAGCCATTATATCACAGTGGCATTCCTTTTAGTGACTGGTTGATTTCAACAGCTCTGGTGATGAAAGGATTATAAGCTGCCATGTTATATTAGGGTGACAAGCTCCAGCTCTGTTATCTCCTCTTAGTTTTCTAGTAGTATAACATTTAAATTGGGACTTTTTCTCCCAAACAATATTACCAGTTTCTTTGACATGCTGAAGAAACGGTGTTCATGGCAATGGAGTCAAAACATCCTTCAAGGAATGCCAGCTGGGCCACGGGCACTTTGTGTGCTGGATATCCAAGTTATTATCATCCATGTATTGTCCTCACCTGGACCAAGTTCTGCCAGGGAAGCAACTAGTATAATCTTTGTTCTTTCCTGCCCCCCCCCTTTTCCCTTGGTGGTTAGCATCCCAGTATTTACGCAGCAGGCAGTGATGGCCATGGTGCCCACAAGTCTGTCACCAGCCCTTTCAAGCTTGAATGACTCCTGAAGACTGCTTAGTGGCACTTACCAGGAAGATTGGCAATCCTACCATATTAGGAAATACTTTAGAGTGAGAGTGAGTGATAACTAGGGGTGGTAGTCAGTGGAGAGTCTTAGAGAAGAGTGTTTCTTATTTCTCAGCATTTACACAAAGCAGAAAGTGCATTCATTTGCAGTTAGCAATTAACAGAGTGTCTTGCAGGGTAGAGGAAATGAGTCCCAGACTAGTTTGTGTGGAAAGAACTGCTTAGAGCAAAAACTGTGTGGGCAGCAGTAGACATACATACGACACGTTATGTGTGTTTGACCAATTATAAAGGGATTTTTGCCTCCACAACCTAATCGTTGGATTGTGAGCCCATCAGCTCCTTTCCTAATTACAGACTTCATCCACCACCCATCCACACAGCCCCTACAGGTAGAAAAAAAAAAAAACCCTCATAGTATTGACTATATGGATGTATTTCTTCAATCCCCTCAGTTGCTGTCTGTCGTACATTGTGATGAAGGGTACATTTGATGATGTATTGCATTAAAGAAGGATAATGCAAAAAAAAAAGTCCCATAGAAGGTTAGAGAATATACTGTGATCTTTTCAAAAGCTTTCATTCTTGCTATAAGATCTTTAGACTTGCTTGTGCTTCTGCTCTGAACAAAAGAATTTGGGCTCCCACTATGTGGCTGTTCCTATTCTAGGAGGAAGAAGTTGCAGAGTAATGCTCTGTGCTTCCAGAAATAGACAAGGGTGCAGGGAAGAGGGGGTTCTCTCCAACCCAGGTCTTGCCTTTCTTACCCCAGCAGGGTATTTAGTAGAGTATTGAGAACACAATTTTCCAGTATGATCTTCCATGCAGTGATGCCTGACAGATTCATAAGGAATTCTATCCTTGTCACATACCTAGAAGTATGACCACAACCCCATGCCGCCTTCTTCCTCTGAAGGGCAGACTTACTGGTGAATGGAAGAGAAAGCAAATAACATTTTGATTTTGGGTTTTGCCTCCTTTGGGAGAAGGAATAACTTATGATCATATATGTACTTCACCAGAACTGAAATAGATCCGTACTACACCAGAAATATTTACAGATTTGATGAGTTTTGTAATACCCCATTTACTATATTGGTGCAACTTGGGAATTCTAAGTTTTTAAAGGTATTCCAAGTAACTTAGATGTTATCACCAGCCAGACAAGTGTTTGTAGACTGTAATTTTTCCCTTCTGGACTCCATTGTAATGGAAGTGAACCACTAAACTACTTTGTGCTAGAGAAGTTGCCAGTAAGTAAGTACTTGATTTTGTATCGGAAGGACTTGTGACACTAAAGGAAATGCAGTTAAAACTTCCCGTGGAGAAAAGCAAAGCTCTTTAAGGACACACGAAAATAATTGAGATTGATTGGATTTTAATTCTCTCATAAAGCTATTTGAATTGTGTAACTTTTTTTTTTTTTTAAATTTCAGATTCAACCCTATGAAAAGATAAAGGCCAGGGGCTTACCTGATAATATATCTTCTGTGCTGAACAAGCTGGTGGTGGTGAAACTCAACGGTGGTTTGGGAACCAGCATGGGCTGCAAAGGCCCCAAAAGTCTGATCGGTGTGAGGAATGAGAATACCTTTTTGGATCTGACCGTTCAGCAAATTGAAGTGAGTGACATTCAGCCTTTTCCATGAACCACTAAAATCAGTTTTAGGTCATTAGAAATATTACCGTATAAAATAACAGATGTGGATTTGAGCTAGTCAAGAAGCTTGCTATCCTTAGTTTCCTTATTAGTATATAAAAAGGTTTGGTGTTCCCAAGGGCAGATCTTTAAGGTGAGTACAATAAAAGCTTTTGGTCTTTAAATAGCATTTGTGGTTGTTGAAATCTCTGGATCTTTTTGGATTCTCCTTTGATCTCCCTCTCCTCTCCTGCCTTTCTTTCTAGTGGCGCAGCCTTCATCATAGCTGGGGTGATCTGGCTTTATTAACCCCTTCTGGGAGGGGGGCGGAGAATTTCCGTATCTGGTTGGCGGCCACGGATGCTAAGAACCGTCCTTGGTTGCTCTCTTAGGAATAGTCATTAGTCGTGGACCACAAGTTCGCCAGGGCCAGTCTTGTTCATCTCTTTATTTCTAGTGTCCAGTACGGTGCTGGCTAACCACACCAGTAACACTAGCAGCAGCAGCAGCGACTGACATTTATCTAGCATGTACTGCACACTGAGTATTATTCTGAGCTTTTTTCATGAACTGAGTCATTTGTTCCTTTCAACAACTCTGTAAGATAAGTACTTTTACTGTCATCTCCATTTTACAGGAGAGGAAATCAAGGCACAGAGAGAGGTTGATTTACTTGCCCAAGATTCCCTGTGTAAACACAGGATTGTCTGACTTCTGAGAACCTGTTTTCTTCACAGTTCTTGACATTAATCCTGAGACTAGGAAACCAGGTCTTTGTAACATCTACTTTCATCCCCACTGTGCTCTGGGCACAGGGTAAATGCTTAGTCAGCATCTGCCTGTCCAGGAAGGCCACAAGGCCCTGGCGGGCGCTCCAGAGTCAGACTGTGTGTGGAGGCCGGGGGGCTGGTGGGTAGGGGGGGTTCTTGGCTCTGCTGTTGACCTGCCGCCGCTCTGGGCCTTAGTTTAGCCATCCATATATGCAGACAATAGTTTCTGTCTCATAGGGTTGTGATTTAATGACTAAGACCATGGTAAGCTGCTTAGCAAAGTGTCTGGCTTATGCTAAATATTTATATTTGGCTACATGTAGGTGATGGTTTTGGATACTTTGTGATGAACTATTACCAGTTTTATAATTTTAAGTGAAAGAAAAGTAGGTCTGGGTAATCTGATTGTTATTTTCCTCCCTAGCATTTGAACAAAACCTACAATACAGATGTTCCTCTTGTTCTAATGAACTCTTTTAACACGGATGAAGATACAAAAAAAATACTACAGAAGTACAATCATTGTCGTGTGAAAATCTACACTTTTAATCAAAGCAGGTACAATAAGTAAAAAAAAAAAAAAAAAATTCTGGAGGGTGTTCCTCCTGGGAAACAAAGACTTCTTTGTCTTGTTTTAAACAGAGTAGCCTCAAGATGTGCATGTACCGAAACCTCAGGTTTGCAAATGTTCAGTGTCTTTCAAGGCTGCACACTTGTTCATAGATGGGTGATTGTTATAATCACTCTGTGATTCTGTAACTTCCAGCTCCTAAGGGAGAGTCTGCTTGTTCCACGTCCAGAATACTTAAGGATGCCCTAGGTCTCTGCTCTTTGGGGGCATATTTGGGCTCCACGTGGGTCTATGAAAATTTTTATATGTTCTACAGTATTGATAACCTTCTTTCATATGGGAAGAAGTTTATTCAACATCCTGAATAGGCTTGGGGGAAATTTAATAAATGCTGGAAAAAAATCTTCTACTTTGAGGAAAGAAAAGTAAGTACAGGCATACTTTGATTGCACTTTAGTTGCACCTTTTAGATACTGCATTTTTTTTTTTACAAGTTGAAGATCTGTGGCAACCCTGCAGTGAGCCAAGTAAGTCTACTGGTATTGGTGCCACTTTTCCAATAGCATTTGCTCACTTTGTGTCTGTGTCACACATTTTGGTATTCTCACAATATTTCAAACTTGTCCTTTATTATTGTATTTGTTATGGGGATCTGTGATCAGTGATTATGCTTTGCTGGAAGCCCAGATGATGGTTAGCATTTTTAGCAATGAAGTACTTTTTAAAATCAAGGCATGTACATTTTTTTAGACATAACGCTACTCCACACTTGATAGACTACAGTATAGTGTAAGCAGAACTTTTAGATGCCCTGGGAAACCTAAACATTCATTCGACTCACTTTATTGCGGTGGTTGGAATAGAACCTGCACGTCTCCAGGTGGCCTGTAGAAAGGAATTCAAATGACAGATTCTAATAAAGCCCATGCACCTGGGGAAGGAAGTCTTCCATCAAAGACTGAATATGGGTCTATATGAACTTGTACAGAACAGATGTTTCTAAAAGTGGTATTGTTGTTTTAAACTATTTTTTCATGGACACTTTGTAAGTTGCAGGTGCTCTGCCTCCATCTTGTGGTCCCTGGTCTGTTACGGAGTTCGCTCCTCTGTTTCCCTCGCTCCCCACCGCCAGCCCTGGCACATGTTTTTGCTAGTGGTCGGGAGCAGGTGTCCCTGAGCACTGATCTGCTGTTGATTTTCTGGGAAAGAAAGAGCACCCCCCCCACCCGAATATATCTGTTTGTAGAAATGGTCATATTTTTCCAAATAGATCTAGAGGGAAAAGAACAATTCCATGACCAAATAAGTTTGAGAAATTTACTTAATGTAGCTCTCGTCTTGTAGAGCCATAAAAATCTCTGTATATCCTAAAAATACGAGGTGTCCTCCCATCTGTATAGCGATGGAAATCTTTTTTTGCAGCAAATATAATGATCTAGGAGGCTGATTGTTGGACAACACAGATAAGAGATTTTCTTAAATGGTTTTGCCTCTGATTAAACTGTTGAAAGACTGAAGAGGAGGGAAGTTTTATTTAACTTTAAATTCACTGTTTTACTTGAAGGTCTGGATTGCTTTACAGAATTGGTACTGAAAAAGACTTTGTTTTTGTTTGTTTTTTTTAAAGGTACCCAAGGATTAATAAAGAATCTTTACTGCCTGTAGCAAAGGATGTCTCATACTCAGGGGAAAATACAGAAGCTTGGTACCCTCCAGGTCATGGTGATATTTATGCCAGTTTCTACAACTCTGGTTTGCTCGACACCCTTATAGGAGAAGGCAAAGAGTATATTTTTGTGTCAAACATAGATAATCTGGGTGCCACTGTGGATCTTTATATTCTTAATCATCTAATGAACCCACCCAATGGAAAACCCTGTGAATTTGTCATGGAAGTCACAAATAAAACACGTGCAGATGTAAAGGTAAATATTGAGAGGAAGCAGTTTGGGGATTCACATCTTCACACTGCATAGGTTCTGTAGTTCAGAATTTTTTTTTTTATTGGAAAGTTTCAGTGGTAAAACATATTCATCCACTTAATAACATCATATAAGACAGAGTGAGATAGTATTCCATAGAGTACCCTAAGTTCCACCTGACATAACTGTGTATAAATTGAGATTGAACAGTATTGTTGAATAATCTATATGGGTGATTTTAACTGAAAATAGTTCCATGTATATTTACAAGATAAGTGAAAACACTTTCAGTGTTTGCTCAAACCTTTAATATTCTTCTAGTCTGGTGCTTATGTGCATTTATTTAATTTTTCCTTTAGAGAAAATTTATTATTTCTGTTTCTACCTATGCATTTCTATATATATGTTTTATCACTCTAATATCTCTGCAGTTGCAAAAAAAAATTTCTTAACTTTGTTTAGTGGTCATGAAATGGTACAGAAGGTTTTACTACTTGGCCCCAAGGAGTAGGAGAATGGGCAGTGTGAGAATACTAACATGGTCATTCCCTAGACTGGGTTCTATATGCCTCTTGCAAACGAGTGAATGTTCCTCTCCCGGCACTGCTGAGGCCTCATGACTCAGAGGTCACTTCTCACCCATTTGTATCTTCCCTTTTCTTCACTTATTGTAGAGCCAATCAGAGCAGGGTCTGAGGTAGTAGGACTAGTGGGTTAGTAATGGATGGTGGTTTGGGAACTGGAGGGAATGGCTCTTCCCCTAGACCTTCAAAAAGTGAGGCAGACCCTGATGTACTCTCAGGGTTTTTATTATGGACAAGAGGGCAGGCATACTGTATAGGATGACAACCTGAATATTTCCTTTGGTTCTACCATTATATGTCTATTGCTGTGTGTCCCTGATGGAATCCATGCCAAAACTTTTTATTTCTGGGGGATTTTATCAATGTCTTTTCTCTACCACTTCCATAGACTGGCAGTAGTGTGGCACGGCTGAGATTGGGAGAGATGTGGAGGTACTCAAACACTCCTCTCTGCCTTTCTAGGGTGGGACGCTCACCCAGTATGAAGGCAAGTTGAGACTCGTGGAAATCGCTCAAGTGCCAAAAGCTCATGTGGATGAGTTCAAGTCTGTATCAAAATTCAAAATATTCAACACAAACAACCTCTGGATCTCTCTTGCAGCAGTTAAGAGACTGCAGGAGCAAAATGCTATTGATATGGAAATCATCGTGAATCCCAAGGTAAGCCTGAGGTGCAGCTCTTGTCTCCCTGGTTCCTGAGATCACAGTAGGTAGGCTGCGCACAGATCCCACTACCCACTCTCTGGCCCATCTATTCACTGGTTCCTCCTTTGTGCCTCGTAAGTCACTCCAGCTCCTGGCCCTGTGTTTCAGGGTCCACACCCATCTCTTTAGTGTGCTAAGCCTTGGCACTCATTGCTCTGACACTTCAAGGCCTTTGGGCCTCAGGCATCTTGCATGAGTTTTGTGCAAACCTTCAGTTCTATATCGTAAAATGGAAACGTTACTAAACAGGAGTTATGATGCTGAACAAAAGACCATGTATGTCTAAGCACCTGGCATGTGGTAGGTACTTGCTTAAATGTCACTTGTTAGGATCCTGTCTCCTTCCCAAACATTAACTAGCCCACAAGGAACTAAGTTGTTAAAACCTCTTTCTCTTCTCCCCTTGGCCCCTTTTCTTTCTTACAGACTTTGGATGGAGGCCTGAACGTCATTCAGTTAGAAACTGCAGTAGGGGCTGCCATTAAAAGTTTTGAGAACTCGCTCGGTATTAATGTTCCTCGGAGCCGTTTTCTACCTGTCAAAACCACATCAGATCTCTTGCTTGTGATGTCAAACCTCTATAGCCTTAATGCGGGATCTTTGACGATGAGTGAAAAGCGGGAATTTCCTACAGTACCCTTGGTTAAATTAGGCAGTTCTTTTACCAAGGTATGTAGTTAGAGATATGGTACACATGTGGATTTGTGGTGCTTAAATGTCTAAGTATAAAAATGACTGGAATGATATGAATTGGGGTCTAATTACAGTCTCGCCTGCTGACCTGTTACATTCCTCTGTCTTTGATTTTGATCTCTTAAAGGGAATCAACCATAGAGGATAAAGACGTAACTCACTTTTGAAATTTGGTTGCCAAAGAGTAGGAAAAAATGTTTAATTTGGGGACATTTTACTTTATGTCTCTTGTAAAACCATTTACTGCTTTCAGCAGTGGGAGAATGTAAATTCCGGTTTAACAAACACTGAGCCCCTACCATGTGCTGGGCAGTGTTCTAGGTGCTGGATAGTTAGCAGTAAGTAAAATGGACTAAAATCCTTGCCTTCATGAATATTCTAGCGGGGTAAGAATGATAATAAGCAAATGTATAGTATGGCACATGGTAGAAAATGCTATGGAGAAAGAGCGGGAGTAGGGAATGTGTGGGTGGTGTGGCAGGGTACAATTTTACACTGGGTGGCCAGAGACGGTCTCACAGAGAAATTGCGTGTACCATGTGGGCATCTGGGATGAAGAGCATTCCAGGCGGGGGAGTGGCAAGTATAGGAGGACCTGACCCTAGCATGCGAAGATGGAATTCAGAACACTGCATCACATGAAATACTGTGAGGTTAATGGAGGGGGACCCAGTGAGCCTGTGCAGCTGGTGTGGAGTCCTGCGAGGCCCTCCCGGCATATTCTGGTCCTGGTTGAAGTTTCGTGCCACCTGGTGTGGAAGCAGGTTCTGCCTCATATGTTCGCTGGGTAAGATTCTGGGTCCTGTGGCTGCTGCAATTTCCAGGCATCTTAGGACTCTCCCTGTTTTGGTGCTGAGCTGGGAAAATGCTGGTGGAACAAAGACCCACCGTCTTCCTGCAGCCCGAGAGGGTACCACCAGCCATTTTTCTACCTCACCTTACCCCTCCCTTCGCTTCCTAGCCTCCACAGTACCCTGCAGGACATCAGGACTTTAGCTGCCCTATTTTGAGAACAGGGGCTGAGTGGGCGCTGGCAAGTTGCTCTGGGGAAGAATGTGTGTTAGAGACTTTACAGAACATAATATGGCAGGTGCAGAGTAAGCAAGGGAGACATGGAGGGGACGGAGAGGGGAACAGTCCCAATGTGTAGAACCTTGCAACTGGATATTGGGAATGTGGGTGGCTTTTCCCCCTTCTGGTGGATGAGAAACCATCAGAGTTGTGAGCTAAGGGGCTAAGTGACCGATCTGGCGAGCGAGGGTAGAATCAGAGCGTAATCCTGGCAAGAGGAAATGGTGGCTTTGACCATGGTGATGACAGTGGAAATACCGAAAAAACGACCTTGAGATATTGTGAAAGTTATACCTACAGGATTTGCTGTTGGACTAGATGGGAGTGTAGGAGAGAGAAGGTTGATTCCAGGGCTTTTAGCCTATGCAACTGCTGACATTTATGGAGATGGGGGAAGTAGGTTTAGGTCTAGAGGGGAGCAGGATGGGGAGTTAAGTTTTGGAGATACTGTATTGGTTAGACCTTCAAATTTATTTTCTTTCTAGATCAGAGGAGAGATGTGGAAGAGACAGGTAAATTTGAGAGTCCTCTGTGTATAGCTGGTATTTAAAGCCATGAGATAGGGGTCACCTAGGGAAGAGGTGTCCAAGAACTGAGCCCTAAGGTAGTCTGAGTTAGAGGATGGGGATGAGGTGCAGGAAACAGCAAAGTTTGCTGAGGAGCTGAGTAGAAAACCATAAACGTGTGTGTCCTGAAAGCCCCAAATTAAGAAAATGTCTCAAGAAAGACAGAGTGATCATCTGTGTCAAGTGCTGCTGCTAATTTAAGAGGAATGGTTCAAGAGCAATGAGAATTCACCAGTAGAATTATCAGTACAGAGGTTCCAGAGCCTGACGGGAAAGGATTTAACAGGGAATAAGAGAAATTAGAGATACAAAGGTGAACAACTAATTCAAGAATTTTGCCCTTAAAGAAAAGCAGAACAAAACAATTGGCAGCCATAGATAGAAAGGGATATAAGATTTGAAAGATTTTTGTTTGCTTTTTAAAGATGGAAGAATTTTGGGGATGTTTATGCACGGACTGGAACTGATGCAGTCAGCGGGAGAAGGAATCACTGGCCAACATCTCTGACTGGGCCCTAAGGAGGCCTGGCCTTCAGCTGGAGGAACTGTCCAAGCCCAGTACTGGGTACTAGGAAGGGACAGAGTAGCGGGCTGGGGGCAAGTGGGTTATGGGAGGAACCGGTGGAACTTTTCAGATTGCTCCTAATTTTCTTAGCAAAATAGGGAACAAGGCCTCTAAGACGATTTCTAGTGCCTACAAATCTAAGGAAATAAGAGGCAAAAGATCTGCATCATTTGTAATGATAATCTGTGCTGTTGCTGTGCATGAGATACTCCACTTCTTCTGAATCCTGCCTATCGCATAAAGCCCCGCTCGTCTACCTAGCTTCAGTGACGAGCTCTTTCTAACTAACCTCCAGATTATTTGAACTACTCATTGGGCTTTTAGCATGTTGGTTATCTTCTTACTGATACCCAGTCTGCTCAGTGGTGTATAAATTGCTTGATTGTAGGGACGGACCATGCTGCACAGGATCTAGCATATAGCAAGTGCTTAATAAAAGGCTCTTCCCCTGGAGGGCCAGAGCTCGGCCATACACAGGATGTTTTCACAGTTTAGTTAAACTAGTTTGTTAATTTAATCCCGGTGTTTTTGTGTTAACCCATTTTTGAAACAATTTGCTTCTTTCAGGTTCAGGATTATCTGAGAAGGTTTGAAAGTATACCAGATATGCTTGAATTGGATCACCTCACAGTTTCAGGAGATGTGACATTTGGCAAGAATGTTTCACTAAAGGTGTGTTGTTCTGATGAAAATTACAGTTCTTACAGCTTTACAAAACAGGTTTCATGTTCTATTCCTAAATTTACCTTTATTTTAAAGAATACCTCTTAGACTATACTAGGTGTTTAGAAGACATAAATACATTGTTAAAATGAAATAGCTACCACAGTATTTAGTATTAGTACTGTCTTCCATAGATATACAACATAGTTAAAATACAATCACAATTGTATATAGGAACTCTGGAATATAGCATTCAAATGGATAGCAAACACTAGTAAATAATGTAACTAGTACCAATTTACTGAAATGACAGTCTTTAAAATAGAATCACTGTTAAAATAACATTAGCTCACCAAAGATGACTGTTTGAATCTGAATGAAAGCAGAAAAAAAATGACAACTTCACTTATACTGAATATCATCTATTCCCATTAATCGGTTGTCATCAGTATAAAGAGATTCATTCATATATTGTAGTACTTGGGTACTTTGCAGAATATCGTCTAACCTAAGAAACAGGAAGGACTACAGGTATAAATATTAAAGCTCAGAGCCGAAGATACAACAGCTTTTTCCTATTAAAAAAAAAAATCCCATACCTAGATTACATGTGTTCTTCCTTAAATAAAGATCTTGGAAAAACAAAAAGGTGTGTGTGTGTGTGCACAGTTGACTCTTGAAAAACATGAGAGTTTGGGGAGGTGACCCCCATGTAGTCAAAAATCCATGTATAACTTTTGAGTCTCCCAAAATGTAACTATTAATAGCCTCTTGTTGACTGGAAGTCTTACTGATAACAGTTGATTAACACATAGTTCGCAGGCCGTACATGTTATATACAGTAGTCTTACAATAGAGGAAGCTAGAGAAAAGTTTAAGAAAATCATTCACGGTACCATATATTCACTGAAAAAAATGTAAGTGGACCCAGACAGTTCTTTTTTTTTTTTTTTTTTTTAAAAGAAAATTCTTTTTTTTTTTTTTTTTTATTTATTTATGATAGTCACACAGCGAGAGAGAGAGAGAGAGAGAGAGGCAGAGACACAGGCAGAGGGAGAAGCAGGCTCCATGCACTGGGAGCCCGACGTGGGATTCGATCCCGGGTCTCCAGGATCGCGCCCTGGGCCAAAGGCAGGCGCCAAACCGCTGCGCCACCCAGAGATCCCGACCCAGACAGTTCTAACATGCTGTTCCAGGGTCAGCTGTACAGACCTCTGCATACGTGTATATACACACCTGGACGTAGACAGAACGTTATTGCTGATGTTGTGTGTATACACACGCACGTGGAACTTCACTGCTGATACTGCCTCATCTAAACAGACTTAAGACATGAAGAATATTACAGTAAACTGTTTTTAAAATCAAAAACCCAAACCTCTATGTAAATATAAACTAAGCACCTCAGTATCTTTATGTGAAGGCGGATGATGCTGGTGACCTTGCAGACAGATCTTTAAAGGCCTGTCATGCTGTGGCACAGGGTCCACTTCTCACTGCGGGTAGGACCGCCTCGGATCCAGAGGTGGCGTTATCTAGAACTACTGCCAGGATTCTTAGAGGGACACTGTATACAGTTTTCCTTAACATGTTACAACTGCTCCGTTGTAAATGGAGTTCTACATAAATTTGGTAATTTTAAGAAAATCCGTTGGATTTCAGCTGCAGTTTTAAGTATACTTTCTTCTGTTTTGTCTTCCTCATCATGTAGGGAACAGTTATCATCATTGCAAATCATGGTGACCGAATTGACATCCCACCTGGAGCAGTATTAGAGAACAAGATTGTATCGGGGAACCTCCGTATCTTGGACCACTGAGAGGAAAAATACTGTGTACACTTCATACTAATTATGGGCTAAACAGTTTCTTACAATGAAATGTTCTCTAGGATTCTAAAGTTGGCAGGTACTTTACTGTGTTACTGTACCCTGCGGTGTTAATTTTTAAAGTAGAGTTTTTTTGCAATATGCTTTTAGTTGAAGAAAAGCACAGATGGAAGCAATATTTTTTCTTCTCTGAAGAGGACCCTGAAAGTTAGTTCATTGTAAAGTGCAATACTGTTTAATCTTAAAACTGGGGCAGCTCTGCTGGAACATCTTTTAACAGAGGCCTCAGTGATGGTCACTTTGAATTGCTTGTGATTTCAAAAATAAAGCTGTGAGGCAATCCATGTGCACACGTACACTTTCAATGCTAACTTTATGAAATGGCCAAAAAAAAAAAAAAAAAAGGTTTACTCTTGAGAAACAGTTACTGGATCAGTTGGAAGGTCTGCTCTTGAAATATGTAAGTACTCACTGGCCAGTTACCTAACACATCTAGTTTTTGCATTTCTAAGAATCTCCACCACATCATTCTTTCCATAGGAATGAAACCTGAAGGTATTTAGTCCCTTTCCTCTGGTCCTCAAGCTGGGATGCCTGCCATGCTTTCCACAGACTCCCGTTTATTAAAACAAAGGGATGTTTCTTTCCCAGCTGCAGGGATGGGGTGGGTAGAGGTAGGTACTTCTTTTACACCCTTGTTCTCTGGTGTGGTGGGTGGAGGTATGACTTTATAAAAAGTCCCCTTTCCTTGAAGCTTTCTTCTTGCGATTGAAAATATTCACAGATAACCTTTCAAGTCCGCTCTGCTGGTAGCTTAATTTGTGGCTTTTCTCTAAGGAGTAATTATATTTTCTAATTCTTCCATACTTGTTTTTGAGTAGGCTGCTTGTAATTTAAAGTTTACTGTATACTATTAAAAAAAAGTTGCCTTATAAAGTCTGGTAATTTTTTACAGCTTTATTTTAGACAGTTGAAGAACCAGTGACATACCTTAGTAATGATAAAACAGGCTTTACTTTTAGGAAATGAAGGAGCACAAAATAAGACTGTTATCTCATTGTACATAATCCCCACAAGTTTAGGCACTCTGACAGGGTTAGGCAAGATTCCCGGGATGAGGTGAGGCACAGGCACTTTCATTTGTAGAGTGCTGCTGATTCTAATTTTGAAGGTAGGTATTATAAAATCTTTAAATAACTTACTCATCACCCTATATTTCTGGCCCCGACACAGCAGCCTATATTTTATTTTAAAAGTTCTATTTCTCCCTGGTCTTTGTTCATATACACGTCGAAAGTAACTTAAAAACAAGAACCCGAGGGGGCCATACTTTGCATGTTATCTAAATGTTAAAATGAGAACTCATAAATAGGCAGAGTATATGAAAATGTATTCTTACCATCTGCTAGAAATAAAAAGGCAAAAAAAACCACCCCCACAAACCAACCCTTCATAGATACGTTTATAAAAATACAGCTATTAAACTGCAGCCTTTCATATACCACTTCTGAAAAGTATTTAAGTTAGTAGTTGAATAAATAAATGCCAATATCTTATTCTTTAATTATTACTGTGATCAGACTTTCAAGTATTTAGACTATTCTGGAAGGCTTTACCCAGCTGACATAAAGTGGTGGTAGAAAGATTAAATATGCGACACACAAGGCCTGAAACCTGACATTGGTCACTAAAACAAAAACTGAATTCCTAAATCCAAGCAATCAAAAGATGTTTATTTTTTATAGAAAGATCTGTAAAAAAATAATTTTTCAAACAGCTTTACTTTCATAGAGAAAACTTTCTACAGAGGTTGACTAAGATTTTAATATTTTAAATTGTACCATCATTAAATAAGGTGGGACACCGTATGAATTTCATTGCACTGGAAGAAATGCAAAGCATTTTTTAATATAAAGTATACAGAGCATTCTAGTCAACTACAGCTGTGTTACAGCTATGTGTTCTTTTGGATTTGGTCCAAAGAAACCTGAGTCTGTTTCCAGAGAGAATGAAAAATGTTATAGACACCTGATCAGTTACTCCTCACTGAAGGAAGCATAAAAATGGCATTCCTTGTAGACCCCATTGAATCCCAGTTTCCCAACACTGATAATTTCCTTTTCCCCTTCCCCTGTCCCAGTTCACTTTGGGTTCGAGGTCCAGTTCTTGAATCACAGGCATCCATATTTTCTTCATAAACATACACATCCCATGGTCAGATGAGCTACCCCGTTTTCCAGTATGTCATCACCTCTTCTGTTCCCAGATCTCGGACATATTTAGGTCCAAATCTTTAAGACCTTTTAAGGCTTGAAGATTTCCAGTGTAAAAAGCTACATCTGCTGTGACCAACCTAAACATTGGAGATAAAACTATTTTTAATCTCATACTTTCTACCGCATAATTAAAGAAGCAATGCTCATAGAGTCAGTCTTATCCTAGCTGCTAGACTATTATTTAAAATTCTGTTTTCCTAGGGACCAAATGTCAATATTATTTCTTAGCAGGATTCCTGCTATCATATAGAGTGCTCTATTTCATTTCAACAGTAAATATCTTGAAGGACTAAACCAGTGCAGGCCGGACTTGGTTTCATAATTCTGCCCAATAAAACATCATAAAATAACAATACGTTAAGATGTTTCTTTGATCACTTGTCAGCAGACTATACAGTTGACCCTTGAACATCACGGGTTTGAATTGCACAGGTCTACTTATGCAGATTTTTTTCAACATGGTACAGCATGAAATGTACTTTTATGATTTTCAAAAACTTTTCTCCAGCTTTATTACAAGAACATAGTATATAACATAAAAATGTGTTAACTGTTGATGCTAACGATAAGGCTTCTGGCCAACAGTGTGTATTATTAGATTCTTGGGAAGTCAAAAATTACATGCAGTTTTTCCTAACCCCTGCATTATTCAAGGATCAACTGTACATGTATATGACCAATGAAATCAGGTAAAAGAAAGACAAGGCTTCCTGAGTGACATCCAAAGAAGTTCATGCTGGGACTCCTGCGTATGTATTACAAGATATAAAACTTGATACTGACAATACAGCAACACTAGATGAGAAAACAAAGTCACACCTTTGTGTACTGAACTGTCCCATCCACGGCTATACTTGAGAGGACATTCCAGGAAAGAACACTCAGATAAACAGGTATCACAGCTCCAAGCATGTAAAATAGGGACCAGTCTGAGTAGATGTATGTATTGGCACATATGGGCCGTGGAGGAACGAAGAGACTTCGACTTAATAGTTTGTAAAAGGAGCGGAAATCCCGCCTCAGTACTTTAATGAACACCTACGTCATGGACTGTGGGACCCTCTGCAGCAAAGGGATTGGAAGCACCCGGTACCACGGCCCAATTTATAAATGCCTTTGGCCGTATGCACTGGATGCTTCACCTCTTATCACATGGCAGAGTTTACTAAGGACCACATTTTTCATTTAAAACTCATCTAATCTGAGTACTTTAAAAAGATTAGAAATTACACTTGTGATAATATGGTCAGTTAAATACACTGAAACTGACAGCAACAGCTCAAAAAAGAACAAAGCCTTTATAAGGCAAGGTCCTCACATTAAAAACTAAGCGTAAAATTAGCATAAATCTTCATTTAAACATATTTCTAGAGTTCTATCAAAGTTGAAAATTATTGTTTGACATAAAAGCAGAGATTTGCAACATTCATAACAAAGGGTTAGTTTGACTAGTGCGTACACAAAAATCTAAGATCAAGAAAAATAATACCCATGAGAAAAATGGGCAAAGAAAGTGAACAGGAAAAGTCAGAGAACATGTGAATGACTAATAAACTTATGAAAAGAGGACAAACATTAGAAAATGCAAATCAAAACAAGATACTGCTGGCAACGAAGGACTTAAAAATCTAACAGCAAATGTTGGCAACACAGAGGCCACTTTGGAGAATATTCTGGCAATACCTAGTAGAGTGAAAATGTACATATGCTCTGATCAACTTGGATATGACCCATAAAGAAATGGTCACACCAGTAGACATGTTTATAGATCTTCACACGGCGTAGTTGTAATGGAAAAAAATAGTGAACTAGAAATGTCTCATTTGGGGCAATGGCTACCTTCAATATGGTAGATTCCTGTGGAAGAATAAAAAGCAGTAAAAATTGGACAATTCCTACCTATCAAAAGATAAACCAGTAATAATGCTGAATAGAAAAAAGGAGCATATGTACAATATACCACATAAGTAAATTAAGTTTATAAAACAGTGCTACCTACTTTTTTTTAAGGTATAGAGATAATGCAAAGGACTTAAGGAATACAGACCAAACTTATTGGAAATATTAACTAGGGTTGGGAGAAAAAGAATGGGACCGGAGAAAGGGATGCTTCAGTTTCATTTGGAATGTCGTTCTTTTTTTTCCTTAATATTTGAGAGTGAGTGAGAGAGAGAGAGAGCATGTGCCGGGGAGAGGGACAAGGGAGGGAGGGGAGCAGACTCCCCACTGAGCTGGGAGCCCGATGCAGGGCTCCATCCCAGGATCCTGGGATCGTGACCTGAGCCCAAGACAGATGTTTAACCAACCAAGCCACCCAGACACCCCTTGTTTTCTTTTTTAACGTAAACATTTTTTTCCAGTGAAAATGAAAACTGTTAATGATCAATTCTAAGCAGCAATACAACTATTATTATTCTATGTCTGTATTTTAAAAATGCCTTAAAATACATTTTAAAAATCTCATCAAAAAACTTGGTTTAGGGAGAAAGAGGGATAAGGAGTAACTGCTTAATGGGTAGAAGATTTCCTCTTGGCTTTTATTTTTTTTTGACTGTCGAACCTATTTTATCATGTGACTGGAAAAACGAACTAGAATTCACTTGTGAATGCACGAACTGCTACTGCATTGTTAAAGGTAAAATGGTTAATTTGATGTCAATTTCATCTTAAAAAAAAAAAAAAAGCCACGCTTTTGAGAGCCATTTCAAGAACAAAAATTCCTTTTAAGCAGATAGTTTCCTATGCCTTTGGCTAGAGTCTAGATGTTAATTTTCAGGGAATTCCATCTATAAAGGGATCACTCAGAGGCATAAATTGCCTTATAGAGAATTAGTGTCTTTAAAAGTATGTGACAGTGAAGATCTCTAAGGTGGGTATGACCCCCAAATAGCTGTATTAACAAAGAAAATAATATGTAATGAGTTAGCTTGGATGCTTCAGAACTATTGGTCAGAAAAACTAACCAACCAACACGGATTTAGCTATGGGAATAAAAGTAGAAGGTTATAATGAAGTGGGACTTAAAAATATTAGTTTTTAAAAAAGTTTCTGAGAGGTATCTGGTGTTCATAAAATGTCCTTGAACTTTTTCTGTGGTCTTGAAATTTTTGAAAATAACAATTCTTAAAAAAAAAGAAAGAGAAGAACCAGGTATTAAGGGAGAGAATCAGATTTTTACATAAAAAAAAAAATTCAGCATGACCATCAGACTCAACTGAAGCTTCCAAGTATTTCTTGCAAAATCAATTCAATATATTTGTTTTGTTGGACAGGGCCAATTTCTGACTCCAAAATACGATTTTTCATTTGTTCCTATAAACTTGAAATTTAAGCCTGAAACTTAACAGGGAATAAAGTATTTGATTCCTTGAATATCCACAGAACAGATAACACTAAAGAAATCATATTAAGGTGTAGCTTCATGATCAGTGCTTTTGCATTTTGTCCCCATTATCTTTATCTATGTTGCTCTTCACAAAAATCTTGCAACAGTACTTTTTGCCATCATCCCTATTTTCAAATCTAGGAAAATGAAAGTACAGAGAGAGTAAGCAATTTACCTAAAGTCACAGAGCTGTTAAGTAGCAGCACTTTACCCATTTCGGATTCTGAGTTGTTTTCTTATATAACTACACTATTTCACCGATAATACATGTAATTTGTCCAAAAGCTTACAATAAAATGGACATACATACACTTGTGCTTTATTTTTTTGTCACCCAATGAAAGAGTTAAAGCAAATTTTATCATTCTCATTTTATAATTAAGGCAGAAGTTAAGTGGACCTTCTCACTATCACATAGCAACAAAGTAGGACTTTGAGTCCTGTCTGCAAACGGGGAAACTACTGGGTAACACAGAAGGTGCAACTGACCCACACTGCCTCAAAACAGATGTGTAAGTTAAGTAACTGACCATTTCTAAAACACGTTAATCTACACAGACAGATATAGATACCCTCTCCGGAAAGAAAGAAAAGGAAAAAAGTTGCTGATTTCACCACTGTGGGGGCACATAGTAAAAATATGTCACAAACATACCCATTTTGAGGTCCTCCATCATTTATCACATTTAAATGAGATAACTGCTTTTTCAAGTGGAGTTTATAACTTGCATTAATTCTTAAAAATAACATCTGGAAAAGAAATAAAATGGTTTCTTAAAACTCTACTGAAATAGAAGACACAAGCATCTGAGTTACCAGTATCAAATCAATATTATGTGGAGAAAGTATTTTTTAAAAAATCTTTGCTTTGGCATACACTTGTAAGAAGCTCCTCTTAGGTATTTAGTTGCTATTTTAGTATAATTTTTCCTCCATTTTTGGAGAAAAGCTCATTTTCCCCTTATCAGCAGAACTTCTTTTAGAGACATAACTTATCACTGCCTTTCTGCCCCTTAGAAGTCCTCTAGGCTATATAAGGGGGACTGACCAAGACAGGTAAAAAGAAATGGAGAATTCTGTAATATATTAAATAGGAATGTGATAGAAAAATAAAGTTACAATGGTAGAGGCAAAGATACTTTCATCCTTCCAAACTGGTAAAATTACTTGAAAGTATTTTATTGCTCCTGCATGCACATTTTTGTTGCAATGACCCAAAACTTCTGTGGGAAATAGAGTTACTCTCTGTAAACGATTTTGTGGAGTAACATATATCTTCTGTGGGGGAAAATATATATAAAGTCATCTATGGAAGTTTTGTAGAATTACTGGTATTCAAGTGACAATACTGACATAAAATCTAATTCTTACTCAGCTTTGACAAGAGCTCCCTTTAAATTATGATGCAGATAAAAAAACACATGGAATACCCGGATGCCCAGCTCCCTGACCTGGCCATAATTAGAACTCAAGATGACCAATCCAGAAGGTCAGAATCAGAGGTGGGAGATCTTACACTTGGAATGAGAAGGATGGCTTGACTACGAAGAAATGAGGAAGAAAAAAGAGACCCAAGTGGGTGCTCCATATCTTATGGCTCCTTCTCAGTCCTCAGTGAGCCCTCAAAGGAGTTGGATGATACTTAATCATGAGTTTGGAATGATTAATGAAAATCTAGGGAAGCATGAAGAAAAACAGTAATAGCTACTATAGGATGGAAGTCTGAGGTGGTATGGGAAAGGAGACCTAGCAGAAGAAAGAGTAGACAAGAGACACTAAGAAAGTTCCTTTTCGCTCCCAAAAATACCATTTCCATGTACTCAACCAATTAGAGGTAAACTCAAATAACAAATTTATCTGAATAGCAAAAATCCCAGTGAAAAGTCATTAGTCATACAACTAGGCTTGTAGTCTAACACTGTATCATTCTACAGCTCGGCTTGAATGAGATAATCTGGTATAGAGGGAACACGCTAAGGTGGGTAAAGATGATTGGAAAAAAAAAAAGAAATACTGGAAACTTCTAAGTACCAGGAGAAGGGAACCAAGCAAGTGGGGGTGGGGTGGGGGTGGGGTAGGAATGTTGGTGAACAGTGAAGAGAATTCTGTGTAACACTTTTATAGGGAAGATCGTAGGGACAAAGGATGGATACTTCAGAGGTGAGAAGTGCCAAAGGCTACCCATTTTGCTGTTTTCCTTTATGCCTACTACAGATCACTTGTGCTGATCTAACAACTATTAATGAGGTATACTGATTGAGTTACTTTATGTGTTCTCTTATTAATTCCATCACTAATTCCGCCACTATCCCATTTGGATTATAATAACATCAGCATATTTGTTGATAAATGCCAACTCTAATTTTCAAACTAATAATATAATGAATGATGGAAGTAGAATCTGAGATCTCTGATAGTCAATGGACAAATGAAAAATCTGCTTTTTATAATTGCTGACATAGAGCAGAACAATATTGCCCTGGCCTGTTGGAGCTAGGGGCACTTTGAAATCAGAAATTTTCATCCACATTCCACAGGTCAATTAGTGAAAAAACTAATAATCATATTGGAATATGAACTAGGCTTAACTGCACCAAAAGTATGTAAAAACACTCCAATTCTGTATGCATATGTTATATATAAAAAAGCAGTTTTAGGAATTACTACTCACTTGTGTTTGTTCTTCTGGAAGAAGATCAAATATAGCTTCATGCATTTTTGCCATTTGCTTACAAATATTCCTGAAACAGGCAGAAGGAACGGGAGCTTTCACCTCATACTGGCAGGGAAAAATAATGAGAATTATGTTCATATCCTCTGGATTGTTTAATGTTCCCACTGTTCCCTCAGACGTAGGTTTTCAGCCCTTACATGCCTAACTCTGATATTGCTGAAGCTTACACTTCAACTATGATGTGTGCTACTCATGCAAATCTCAAGAACTTTTCATTAAATATCCTAATCTACTTTGAGAAAGCCGGCATAATTTAGTGGCTAAGAACATAGGCTACTTCCCTTAAGATTGACTACTTCGGTTCAAATCCCAGCTCTCCAAATTCTTAGCTATGTGACAATGGGCAAGTTAAAGTTACTTCATTCTCTATCTCAAAGGGCTTGCTGTGAGGACTCAAAAAGATGGCTCATAAGGATACACAACAGTGCTTGATACAAAATATGTACACAAAAAATGTTAGCTACCAATCTGGCTCAATATATAAAGATATATATCTTTAGGCCCTCCAAATGAACAGATTATTTTTAAACATAATTTTCAGAATGTGTCAACATGATCAGATCTGAAATCAATAGGACTCTGGTAGGATTAAAATTTTTTCTTTTGTAGGTAGGCCAATATACAGTAATCATATTTAGCCTCACTGTGGTAAAGAAAGACTTTTCAGCAATGATCTAGACTGAAAATTTAAACAGGTAAATTCATTTTACTATCCTTAAATTTGGAACAATACACCAATATCATCCATATAACCATCTCTGGCCCACAGTTTATAATTCACAAATTATATACTATTTTAATTTACAAGACTTATCTGGGCTAAATAATTTATTTTTAAAGATTTTATTTATTCATGAGAGATACAAAAAGAGAGAGAGGAGAGACACAGGCAGAGGGAGAAGCAGGCTCCCTCCATGCAGGGAGCCCGACATGGGACTCGATCCTGGGATTCCAGGATCACACCCTGAGCCAAAGGCAGGTGCCAGACTACTGAGCCACCCAGGGATCCCTGGGCTAAATAATTTAATGTACTAATCTTACAGAGTTTATTAAAATGATGAGTTCCAATATAATGCTCTTAGAACCATGTAGAAGTCACCATGTGAGTGCACCAAAATAAGAAAAGTTGTGATCACCTAGCGTTTTACCTTGCCTCAGCCTGAAATATATAAAATACCCCTTTATCTTTTATTAATAACACTTTTAAGATATAATTCACACACCATAAAATTCACCCTTTTAAAGTGTACAATTAACTGGTTTTTAGTAAATTCATACAACCATCACTATTAATTTCTGAACTTTTTCATCACCCCAAAAGAAACCCATAACCATCAGCAGTTACTCCCTATGCCCCACCCTCCCTGGCTCCTGGCAACTACTAATTTCCATGAATGTAATCATACAATATATGGCTTTTTGTGACTGGCTTCTTTCACTTAGCAGAATGCTTTCAACAGTCTTCCAAGTTGTTAACACGCATCAATACTTCATCCTTCATGGGGCAGCATGATATTCTACTGTATGAATATACCATAATTTATCTCATCATCAGCTGATGGACATTTGGGTTCTTTCCACTTTCTGGCTATTATGAATAATAATGCTATGGACATTCATGTACTGGTTTCTGTGTGAACAAATGTTTTTTAATTCTCTGGGGTGTATACTTAGAAGTGGAATTACTGGGTCATATGGTAACTTTAATCTTTGAGAAAATGCCAAAATTTTTTCCAAAGTAGCTATAACCTTTTACAGTCCTATTCAGCAGTGTATGAGGGCTCCAATTTCTCCACATCCTCCACCAATACTTGTTATTGTCTGTCTTTTTTATTTAGACATCCTAGTGGGTATGAAGTAGTTATTTCATTGTGGTAATGTCCCCATATCTAACTACCATCCTGTACTGGGTTGAACAGTATCCCCCCCCCCCCAAATTCATGTTCACTTAGAATCTTGTAAGGTCATACTGGTTAGAGTGGGCCCTAAATCCACTGACTGGTGTCTTTATAAAAAGGAGAAGGAAATTTAGACACAGACACACAGAAGGAAAATGGCCACATGAAGACAGAGGCAGAAATCGGAATGATGCATCTACAAGCCAGAGAATGCCAACAATTGATGGCAAGCACCAGAAGCTAGAAAGACTCTCTGCTACGGCCTTCAGAGGGAGCATGGCTGACAATACTTTGATTTAAGACTTCTTGCCTCCAGAACCATGAGAGAATACATTTCTGTGGTTTTAAAGCCGCTCAGTCTTTGGTAATTTGTAATGGCAGCTCCAGGTAAGTAGTACACCCCCTAAAACCTTCCTTCACCCCTGCCTCCCCTAGAGATACTATCCTTTCCATCTTACCTTCACCATCATATTTCTCCAGTCACCAAAACTTGATACTGTACTTCTTTATTCTCAACCCTTAAAATTTGGTTCTTGCCACTACCCAAAGCACTTTCCTCCACTATTAGCAACAATCTTCTGAAATGTCTTTCTGCAAAAATCACTGAAGACATCTTAACTTCTAAATTTAGTAATTTCCCTAGGCATTCTTCTTCCTCATTGCTCTGCAGTATTCACACACCTCACACTTGAAACATGGTCCTTGGTCCTCATGGAATGAAATGCTTTCCTGATTCCTCCCCTCCTGACCTTCCTCGTCTTATGTCTCCTAAGTGCAAAGCTTCCTCAATTTTACTCCTCCTTATTGTCTCCTCTTTCTCTCTTATCAATCTCAACCTAACAACTTCTAATATATCTCTAGTCCTGAACCATTTTATTAAGTCACACATTTCCTAAATGTTCCATACCATCCCTGAGTTTACCATGAGCTTTCCCAAACCCGCTCCTCTTTCATGTTTCAATTACTATTGCTGGTATTACAATCCTCCTGCTCACACAGACTGGAAATCTCCCACTCAGTTTTTATTCCTCAGTGGCTAAGGGCCATCAAATGGACTTTCAGATTATTTTGCACATTCCTACTGCAGGTCAGAGTTTCTCAACCTCTACACTACTGACATTTTGGATTACCTTGTTTTTTGTTGTTTGGGCTATCCTGTGTATTATATATAGGATATTCAGTAGCATTCTTGACCTCTCTTCTCTAGCTACCAGTATCATCCCACTCCCCAAACTGTGACAACCAAAAATGTTTCCAACACTTCTGAAAGTCCTCAGAGGACAAAGCTATCTCAGTTAAGAAACACTGCCCTAGGTAAGGTCTTCAAGATTCTCACCTGAAAAAAATGTAGTCACATTTTAATGAGTCCAAATATAAGGTCAACAAACATTTAATAAAACTGACTAGTACACAGTAAGCTCTGGATACATATTTTCTTAGATGTGTGTATATATGAACATGTGTGTGTGTGTGTATGTAGGTATGTAGGTGTATGAGTGTGTGTATGTGTGTGTGAATGTGTATGACTGAATGAATGCATCAGATACTATGCCGGCTAGTGTACAAGGATGAATCAGAGACAGAGATCTCTGGGGAGCTGACAACCTAAAAGCTGATTGGCAGTCCAGAAAGTGGATCCCGCATGCCACAAGAACCCGGGTGAAGGAAACATAGGCAACAGCATAGATGGCTTCCAGAGCAGCACACCTGAGCTGCTGAGTCTTCAAATGAAAAAAATTAAGTGAAAGCATTCCAAACAAAGGACACGCCATATCACCTCAAATCCACTGTACATGCTATCTGATAAATCCTTCTAAAGTGCAATTCTAATCATGTGATTTGTTAACTTAAAAACTTTTGGGTTCTACTTCCACAGAGAGAGCACACAGAAACTGTCTCACTTTGGCAGAGCATAGGAAGAAGAGGTGACTACCTCAGACAGAAAACTAACATTTTCACAAATTCCCAATGGCCATATATGGACTAGCATATGTTTACAGTAAGTGAGAACTCTGGCCACAGCGCAGTCTGCACTCACTCACAAATTCTTCTCCACAGGTCTCCAGGTACTCACAAGCAACACTGAGGTCAGAACTGGAGACCACAGAGTCACTCTCAGTAGTAACACAGGCAAGCAGGAGGTAACTGGCTGCCACTAGAGAAAAGGAACAAGTGCTGCCCACCTCCCTGCACCCTCCTTTTATACAAAGCAAAAGCCTAAAGTCATGGAGAAAGGGCACCAAATTCTTTTATCCCCTGGGCTGTGAGGATAAAAACAAAAAAATACTTCTAAGCCCAGGATCAAAAACTAATCAAAGCAGAGGTTGGCTACCACTGGAGGAGGGGTGGGAACACTGAGAAGGCTTTACTTCTAAGTCTGATTCCAAGACTTATAATAATGCTATGGTAGTTACAACATTAAGACAAGGTATTGCTGTAAGACAGACTTACAGATCAATGGAACGGAAGAGAAAATCTGAAAATAGACCCACACAAAAACAGCCAATTGATTTTCAACAAAGATGCCAATGGAGAAAGGACAGTCTTTTCAACAAAAGGTGTCACAACTATCCAGAAAAAAGAATATATAAAAATCAACTAGAAATGGATCACAGATATATACATAAAACCTGAAACAATAAACCTTTCAGAAGAAAACACTGAGAACTATCTTTGTGACTTGGGTTATACAAAAATTCCTTAGTATAGGACATAAGAACCATGAACAATAAAAGAAAAAACTGGTAAATGAATTCATCAAAATTTAAAAACTGTTCTTAAGACACTGTTAAGAAAATGAAAAGATAAGTGACAGACTGGGAGAAAACACTTAGGAAATACATATTTGATAAAGGACTTATATCTAGAATATATAGAGAACACTTAAAACTCAATAACCCAATCTTTAAAAGTTACCTAAAAGTTTAAACACTCTACCAAAGACTTGGGTGGAAACGAATATATGAAAAGGTACTCAACATCTAAGTTATTATGTAAACTAAAACCACAATGAGATACTATTCCATACAGACACATTAAAAAACAAACAGACATACAATAGAAAGCACTGGTGAAGGTGAAGAGCATCTAAACTCTCATATATCACAAGGAGGGGGAAAAATGGTATAGTCCCTTTGGAAAAAAAAATTGGCAGTTTAAATGAAGTGTCATAAAGTTTTACATTTCTATACAACCATCAATCTATTCGAAGGTATTACACAAAGAAATGGAACATGTGCCCACATAAAGATGTGCACGTGAATGTTCATAGCAGTATTCATAAATGCCAAAGACCAGAGAGAATCCAAAGGTCTATCCACTGATAAATGGATGACTAAACAGTGATACATCCATACAGTGGATACTACTCTGTAATAAAAAGGAACAAACCACTAACACATACTATGAATTTCAAAAGCATTATGCTAAATGAAAGGAGCCTGGGACAACAAGCTACATTCTAATTCCATTTAAAGGACATTCTGGAAAAAACAAACTACATAGATGAAAATCAGATCAGTTGTCAAAGTTTTGTGATGTGGGGAGAGAACTGACTACAGAAGTGCTCCAGAGAATGTTTAACAGTGATGCAGCTGTTGCGTATCTTGATTGTGGTAGTTCTACCAACACATAGGTTAAAGTTAGCCAACTGTATACTTAGAAAGAGTGAATTTTATGGAATGCAAGTTATAGCCCTACAAGCCGGACCTAAATTGTTTAGCTTTCCACTGGAAGTCAAAACTCTTCATTTGCCTTTCCACCATACCTCCCATTCCTTGGTTCATTCACCCTAATACATTAGCTAAGTGGAATAACTTGCCTTTGTTATTAACAACATCAGCAAAAGCATTAGCAGCCAACATTTACTGGAAACTTGCTATAGTCAGACATATGATAAAAAAAAAAGGCACTCCATATAAATATTATCTCATTAATCATCACTATAACCTTATAAGGCTCTATTATTTTTCCCATTTAAAGACAGAAACTGAGGCTTGAGGAGATTAATTTACCCAAGGTGCTTCAGTGGCTATTCTGGGACAAACACTGAATGTGAACTTAGGTCTATTGGACTCCAAAACCCTTCCTCTTGATTCCTAACTGCTATTACCTCAGAGCATCTCATTAGCTCAACTTTATTTGCCCTGATCATGCCTATGTTTGTTTAAAAGCAAAACTTACGTGCATGCCTCATCCATGAGGTTTCCCAGATCTCCCTCCTCAGCTGGTAATCAGCTCTTCAAAAAGCATTAAAAGCTCTAATAGCACAAAATCAATTCTGTACTTATGGCTCTTGACATACTCTACCCTCCTGTTATAATTATCGATATGCTTCTCCTATTAGATATTTTACTATTTGAGGGACAACACTGAAGATTTCTTCACCCTATGTGTCCCACGTACCTCACACAGTTCAACTTCCTGAATGAATAAAGGAATGAATGAATGAATAAATTATGGCTGGGACATTAGTTTAGCCAGTAGTACAATTAGATGTTAATGTTTCATTCTATCCAAGCAATGGTACCATTACTTATTAGCTTTTTAGAATCAGCCTCTATTACTGCGTTATCCTTCTTTCCCTATATTAAATTTTCAGATAAGAAAACAAAAAGCTACAATTAAGAGGTTAACCCAAACCAAATACTGTCTGTTATCTTGGGATGAATTAAAAACAGAGCTAAACTCCCGGGCAACCCATGAAAACCACCAGGATAGGGAGTGGCAAAGAGAGACTTGCTAATACTGGGAGAACGTAATAGGTCAAGGTAACAGGAGACGTAGGAAGTTGAAGTAGGAAGATAGTAGTGAAGAGTGAAGGGTAAGGCAAAGTGACTAGGCCTGATTAAGTGGCATTTTTCTAAAGATACCTTCCAGGATGGGGACTCACTGGAAACCACTGCTTCTTTTAATGGCCCATTTGGAATGGGAAGCAAACAAGAAACAGATACTGAAATTGATGATCTATGAGGGAAATAACAGAGCACCTTAGACTCTGGCACTTCAGGCTGGAAAATAAGAACACACCTTATGACAATTATTTCTCTATTCTCATCTTTGTTCTCTCAATTCTGTCTCTGAAAGACTTTCAGACTAAAACCTAGTTTGAAGAAGGTACATATTTGTCAATGCAGCTAATATAAAAAACTTCTATATACGGTTTCTATCATTCTTAAAATAATCTCCTCCTTCCCCGTTCCAACCCCTTAGGAGATGATTATCCATTATTCAGGCAATCTGAACATTTTATTGAGTTTTTCTAAACCCTAAATTATTTGATTGTTTAGACAACTGTGAAAAGGCATGGTACCTTTAATCAATGCCTAATAATTTCCATAAATCATTACCTTAGATAATAGCTTGTCAAATAAGCTATCCATTATCGCTACAAGCTTAGCTGATATTTCAGCTATGTGGTCATGGTAGTCCTGTAACGAGAAAGAACATTATATTTTAAAGTCCCTGTGTCACATCTAAAAAATACTTAACAATTATGAAATTCCAAAAAAAAAAAATTATGAAATTCCAGTAGAAAATAGAAGGAAAAGTACCTTAGTGATATGATCAAAATGCCTAAGCATGCTATATTGCTTAGGCTGCAGCCGAGCTTCAAAATGAGCCCGGATCACAGGAATGTAGTGCACAATTAACTGCAAACAACGTGAAGAAAGAGCTGAAGATCCCAGTAGTGAATATATCAGGGAGAAACAAAACAAGATATTAGTGGAGTTTAATTAAATATCAAGTTAAATTAAAAATGTCAATTATTTTCATATACTTTATTTCATAAATGAAGAACACACTGGCAGAAAGCAGCAACATTATTTCACTTTGTTTAACAAAATGATTTGTGGGGCGCCTGGATGGCTTAGTCAGTTGGGCAATCTGACTCTCAGTTTCAGCTCCCGTCATAATCCTATGGTCGTGGGATAGAGCCCCATATTGGGCTCCACGCTCAGTGTGGAGTCTGTTTCAGATACTTTCTCTTTCCCCCTATGCCCCTCCCCACTCACATGCTCTCTATCACTCAAATAAATAAAAATCTTTTTAAAAAATGATATGGAACTGAACGATGTAGTAAATATGCTGCTCTCCCCAATGAACTCAAGTTGTTAGTATTACAGACATGAGGAAGCTAATGGGACAACTGATTCTCTTCTGACATCCAGATACCTTTCACCTCAAAGCACCTCATATGTATTATATCTTAACATTTTCTATAGTGATGCAACTTCCAAATAGTGGAAATTCCTCATAACATTTCCCTAGACGTTAATTTTTCAGTAATACACAGAAGAGTGAAGTAGCATTTACTACTTTTAGAGCCTTTAATTAGAGTCATAAAACATCAGGTATAATAAAAACACACAAAAATAAATAAAAATAAAAACACAATGAGCATGGTGACCTCATTGTAAAATCTCAGCATGTGAATTAAGAGCAAGAATCCATACCCAAATTTTTTGTCGTTATTGTTTTTAGTCCAACAACTTGCAGTGCACCAGCTCCAAGAACTAACTGGCAACTTCTTGAATTGAAGTACTAACAAAGGAAGGAGAAAAAAAAAGCCCAACAAATTATTAAAAACTGTTCTATATATGCTGGCGTTGTGTTTACAGTTCTAAAAATACATTCCTCTTTTCTCTCATTCAAGGACCAAATGAATTTTCTAGTAGAAGCAATTAGGATCTATTTATGTAATGACAAAAAAAGGGGGAGGGGTGTTCCTAAATGATATTTATTGTCTGGTAGGAAAAAAGTGGAATTCTAAAAAACAATTGTTCAGAAATTAATCTTTAATCTGCATTCATAAACTAGTTCAGTTTCACTAAAACAGCACACTATATGTTAATTATACTTCAATTAAAAAAAACTAGTTCAGTTTCAGTCATTCTTATTGGAGAGTCTTATTTTCAAAAGGGTAACAAAATCTTTCTGGACTTAAATATGACAACTCAATTTGGGGGCAGAATTAATTGAGTAGACATTTGAAAAAAAGCCTTTTTTTTATGCTAGCAGTTAAAAATATCTGTTAAAATGAAATGGCTGAATAAGATTATCACCACATTTTCATTTTACATCAATGGTTCTGAAAGAATGATTTAAGAAAAATCTCTAACCTTAGTGAGATGAATTTTGTAAAGTTCAGTGAATTCCTTCCATGCACATTTGAAACCAGTCCAGGTTTTTTGACCTAAGTGGCCTCAGTCATGTTCAGCACCTAACGAACAAATCATCTCCTGTCTCCAATGTCATTAACAACTCTATGGGTATAATGAGGAATCACTAAAAGTGAAGTGAGAAGGAAGCAGACGGCCTTCTTCCAGTAACATGTTGTGATGCAACCACAATCAAATGTCACAAAATTAATGTCTTAAAGATAACTTAACCCTGAAACGTCTTAGTTTGAAGGTTAGTCATACTCTAATGAGTTACTTCTTCCAACTATTTTTCCATCACAGAGTGAAATCATACACACCTTCAATAAATCTGACAGACGTGTGAGCATGTCAGTAGTAACAGATGGGATATTGTCCACACACTGGCAATATTCAAGGATAATTCTTATCAAGAGCAATACAGTTCTGTAAGAAAAGAAAGATGACCCAATAAGCACTCAAAACAAGAAAGTTAAAATGATTCAACACATAAAAGTCAATACTGATCTTGATAACTATGAAATTATGTGTTTTACCTATAAACGCAGCAGAGTAGGGACTAAGGTGAGGCAAGACAGATTCCTAGGGTGCAAAATTAAGGGCACTCATTTTCAGGGTCATGAAATTACAGGTAGAATGAGTACCTTAAGTTTTATGCATTGGCACATCACTCTCTGTGTGGCATTCCTAATAAGTAAGTCTCTTCAATAAGGCATCCTGGGGTATCCTGGGGCATGGAGCCTGCTTAGGATTCTCTATCTCCCTCTCCCTTTGCTCACCTCCCTCAAAAAAATATATGAGAGAGCAAGTATCCCATTCCTTGGCATTTCAGAAACACTGACAAAAAGCCTACCCAATGTTGCTGGTTATATAGTAGGTGCTCAATCATGAACTGCTGAATTAACAATGGGAACCTAGTCTTGATTTTCTTGGTGAGATGAAAGAGAAACTGTGGCTTCAAAGAACAATGGTATCTCCTAAACAGTTACTGGTAAGTCACAAAAGGTTTTCCTAACATGAGAAAGTTACCTGAACATGTCATAAACTGAAAAGGGACACTACTGGGAGGTTAAATAAGATTGAGGTTAAGGTGAATAGAGCCATTATGGGACCTCCAAGTTCAATGAGATGCTCAGAAATGAGTGATCCACGTAAAATAGTTTTATAAAAGTCTGAAGAAAAAAAAAGTCTGAAGAAAAAAAAAGTCTGAAGGATATCAGAAAGTAATGATTCAAGAAAGTGCCTAGCCCTTATCACAGCTAAATTGTCAGACCATGTATTATTCTCCAAGCATATTTCTAGTGTCTGCTCTACTGGGCAGGGGTCCACTGTTTATCTTTTGTAATATTCTCTCAGAAGATAAAATATTCTCCCCTTAGCTAGGGAGCCAAATTTTTTGGGGAGTGGTCTTTTTGTCTGAAGAGCCAGAGGGGTACCACTTCCATCAAGCAAGAGTAACAAGATAAAGGATAGTTAAGGAGAGAAGTCATAATTGTTTATAAGATTTGAAATCGTTAATCTAAAATTTTCAATTCACATCAAGGGGAATTAGAAGACTTATGTTTTAAAATAACTGACTTAATAATAAAGAAAAATGTGTTACTCACCCAACGACAGCATACTGTTGTCCCTCAACAATGAGAACTTCAGCTGGTTTCCTTTCTTCTGTAGCTAGAGAGTTAAGCAAATAACCATGAGAGACATAGGAACAAGATGAAAGAAATTATTAGAGAAAAAAATTTAAACTAGGAAAAAACTACAAAAGATTTTAGGGCCCAATTTAGGGCCCAGTAGGGCCTAAAACTATCTTATTTCTGAAAACAAATGTTGACTTCTTGAGAAGCAATTTGGCACAGAATAAAATATATTAAGTTTGGAATCAGAGAAATTTGGATTTGAGTTCCAGTACTACTGGTTACTGGATGCATGACTTGTGTCAGTTAGCTAACTTCTTTGAGTCTCAACATCTGTGTCCATTAAACATGGATAACAGTATTTATCATTCTATTGTTAACAACAGAATTCAGGACTACAAACCGCCTATCCTCGGTCTGGCACATGATAGGTGATCAGTAAGTGGTAAGGAAAAAAATATTAGTTTGAAAAGGCAGAACTAGAATTTCAACTGGTTATCTTTATTATAATTCTTAGAATACAAGCTAATTCTTATATTCAATGGCAAGAGTATATCTTTAATTTATATTTATATATAATATATATTCAATTTTCAATTTTACTACAGAAATTACGGTATTTTCAGCATGTGGTTTTTCTTATTATAAAACAAAATTCAGCATGTTGAGGTAAAAAGAACAGGTGACTGGATTACTGTCCTGAATCAGCCAAATCAATTAGATTATCATGAGAGAGTCATCATGCTTCCCTCAGCTTCAAGTCCCTTTGACTTGGCATTAAATATCTACCTTCCTTATTTCTTTAAAGGAAAGAAATTCAGTGATACAATTTCTAACTACAATTCATTCTGTATGTCGGATTAAATTTTTGAGGACAGGGATAGTGTCTTAATCAATTCTCCACATTGCAGAGAATCGGCAGAGCACAATAATGTAGAGAAGGGTACTAAAGTTAATCTGCCTGAATTTGGAGCCCAGCTCTACCACTTACTAGCTCTGTAACCTTAGGCAAATTGCCTAATCTCTTTGTGCCTCAGTTTCCATATATGTCAAATGGGAATATAACAGTATCAAGTTCATGGATCTATAAATGAGATAACAATGTATTTAGAACAAACTGTGTAGCATCAAGTAAGCATTCAATTAAATATTAATTGTTATCCATTAAATTGCATTTCCCCATGCCTAACCAAGCAGCTAGTAACTCATTAATGGATGGTGGATGAATGAATAATAACCAAGGATCCTTAACTGGTAAAAACTAGTAAAATGTTAATGGACTTCTAATAGCATGTACTTTCTTCTTGCTCAGAGGGGGGAAAAACTGGGACAGAAGTAAGGTATATAAAAGAAACCTCTTATTGTCAGTATCCTCCAAAGAGAAAGTAAAAATAAACAGTTCACTTTGAAACACACACACACACAAACCCCACAGTTAATTTTTTAATTAAAATGAGAGAGTGATTAAGTTATGTTTGCATAAGAGTGAATTCATGTAACACTTTGAGCTATTCAGGGAGAGAAAATATGTCATAGTCATCTAGCACAGCACCTCACAAAGTGAGAAGTCATCAAATACAGCCTGAAAGAGTAAATGAGAGATAAATCTTATAATTTTATTCTTGTGATATAAAATAATCAGTGTTTTATTTTTTCCTTCAATCTTTGCCACTTGAATACTTTTGCTTTGCTATCATGTGATCAGTTAAAAGACTGTGACCACAATCCAACACTGTCACCTACTAAACAATAATCATGAGGCAATAGAAATCTACTTAATTCATTCAATTCTTCCCTCTGTCCTGTATGAATTACTCTACTTTACACCTGTTCTTAATCCCACCTCTCTTGTCACAGGGTTAGAAGAGATAGCCTTTCACCTCAACCCTAGATTTAATTCCAGGAGCCCTGCCTCACACTCAGTACATGCCACTCTTCTGTTTATTCTTCTTCCTCTTTCTGTTAAACATAAAAATATAATTCAGTTTCTCTCAATTCCCTGAGTGGATTAAAGTAATTACCTAATTATTCTCTTAGGTCTCTAATGCTACTTCACCACTCACTTTCCCTTCACAACCAAACTTGTCAAAAAAGGAGGCTAGATTTGTTTGCCAGTCCTCACCTTCCAAGTTACTCAGTACTCAACTACCAACTGACTCTGTCACTCTACTGAATTATTAAAATTGCAAATGATCTCCTACATGTCAAACTAGTAGTCACTATTTGTCTTTCACTCAGTCTTTCTCTTGTAGTACAGGCGCATTTTGTGCAAATGTTGATATACACAGTTTAAAAATATTTCTATGTAAAAATATTAAGCTTTTATTAAATGCATCTACATACTCCATTGAAAATATCTGATAATTGACTGGTTGCCTCAGTCAGAGCATGTACCTCTTGATCATGAATTCAAGTCCCATGATGGGCATGGGTTCTACTTAAAATCAAAAAATTTAATTTGTATTTTTTATTTTTTAGAATACAAAACGTTTTTTTTTAAGATTTTATTTATTTATTTATTCATGAGAGACACGGGGGGGGGGGCGGGGGAGGGGGGCAGAGACATATAGGCAGAAGGAGAAGCAGGCTCCACGCAGGGAGCCCGATGTGCAACTTGATCCCAGGACTCCAAGATCATGCCCTGGGCCAAAGGCAGACGCTCAACCACTGAGCCACCCACGCGTCCCGAATACAAAACTTTCAAAAAACTATTGGACAATCTTATAATTTCAAATCTGGTATTACAGGGTAAATTGTACATAAGCTTACATTATTATTACCTGACAACTCCACATTAATTGGCATGCAAAAGTATCTTTCAGTCATTATATTTCTTTCATATGAAACCCAACAGTCATTTGATACCAATGACAATTCTTTTCTTGAAACTCATTTTTTAAGAATCTGGATTTCCTCCTATCTCTCTGGCCCTTCCTTCTGAGTCTCCTTCATAGTTTTCTTTTTCTACAGTTCTTTACATTTTGGTTTTCTCTATTATATCACTACTGCATTACTTATGGTTGCTAATCCACATTTTTTTCCATTAGGGTTAGCCCTTTTAAAGGAGTATTATAGGGCAGCCCCAGTGCAGTGGTTTAGTGCCGCCTGCAGCCCAGGGTGTGATCCTGGAGGCCTGGGATCGAGTCCCACGTCAGGTTCCCTGCATGGAGCCTGCTTCTTCCTCTGCCTGTGTCTCTGCCTCTCTCTCTCTCTCTCTCTCTCTCTCTCTCTCTCTGAATAAACAAATAAATAATATTTTTTAAAAAAATAAAATAAAGGAGGATTATAACTGTTATCTCTGTTTTAATATTTGACACATAGTAGAAGCTTACTAGTGTTCATATCTTTCAACATGGTACAGTGAGCATAGCCATTAAATTATATAAAGCTGGTTTCAAATCTCAGCTCATCATTTGTACAAAATTCCTTAATCCCTGGAAGCCTTAAACCTCCTCATTGTTAAACAAGGTTAACAATAACATCTTCATCATAAGTTGTTGTGCTCATAAACTGGAATAATGCATGTAAAAGCACTTGGCCCAGTGTCTGGCATATGGTTAACATTCAATACATATCTGAAATTATTATTACAAATTACTACATATAACTATTCCAGTCAATTACTTACTAAGCTAGCATTATTAGTTCTAGGCTTTTCAAGAAGCACTGTCAATTCAAGAAATGTTAAGCATTCCTATAAAATGAATAAACAGTATAAAATCAGAAAAGAGTGTGTGAAAGAATACACATACCCCCTGACTTTTTTTCAGGTAAAGCAATCTTTCCACCTGATATAGAATCAACAAGATCCTGAAATTCTGCAGGAACATCAGCTTGCTTCCAGCGCTCATTGTCTAGGAGGAGGCTATTCAAAAGAGGAAAAAAAGAAGATAAACTTTAACAATATTTCAATACCATCTTCTTTGATTGAAAAGAAAAAGCTGAGTACATATGACTTTTTATTGTCATATCTTTTAGTAATAATAAAGACACTACATGTATCGTAGTTAAATTCAAGTAGACCTCATATTTACATTTTACACAATAATGGTCATTAGCTGTTAATAGTACTAAGATTTCTAAAATAAATGTATACCTTAATAAATTGAAATAATTCATAATTTCATAATCATTCAATATGAGTACTTTCAGAAAATATTTCTTTTTATATTTCTTAGTCTAACCAAAAAGAATTGTGAAACATAATTAAGTTCCCACTGAGTAGGAAAGGAAAAGTCAATCTATTGAGGATTTTTCTGATTAGTACTTTAATGAAAATAAACATTTTTTTTAAATAAACATTCTAAAAATAAAATAAAATAAAATAAACATTCTAAATCCACTTTGAAAAGCCAAGAAATATGATTTTAATTCCACAATCTGCCTTTAATGAAAAAGAAAAAAGTTTTTCAGGGATCTGGTTAGCCAATCAATTAAATATAAATCATGTTTTGTAAAGAAAAGGGAAAAAACTGAACAGAATGAACATGGTAATGATACCTGAGCTTAGTTTTTCTCTCTTCATGAAATCTGTTTACAAATTTATTAGCTTGGCTCTGAAGTGCTCCAAGTAATGACATACTTTTTCTTCCACAGATCTGTTCAGTATCTAAAATGAATGTTTCCATTAATCTAGAAAGTGTTATGAATTCCGTGGAATTTAGCTTCTCAAGAAAACCATCCTAAATTTTAAAGATAACACAAAAATCATGACAGAGAGTTAGGTATAACACCAAATAAGAATAAGCTATAAAACCAATTTAGTTTAACATGTTAATTATATTATTTTAATAATACATATTAATGCATAAACATTACCTTAAAATCATTTTTAATGAAGTTTCTCAATACTTCAGTTCCAGAAATTGAACATAAAAAGCTTAAAATGCCTAAATTTTACACTGATCTCTTTATAATATAGTAGCTCAAATAAATTCAAGTCATGCTATAAAATGTTCACAATATTGGATTTCAACCATTTTCATTAATATAGTGGCTATACACACATATATGTAATATGTACATATATAAAATAGCATATTCAAATTAATTAAGGCATTAAATTTAAAAATTAGTCTTTCAATCATTTTTTTTTAAGAATAATAAATTTTCTTATTTCTTTTATTTGGATTATTTTACATTTCAACATCTTCCTAATAGGCCACACCAGTATCATTAACCTTATTAAATATTAAAAATATAATATGCATTATAGGCAACATAGGGACACAAGCAAGGATATGATGCTAGATCTTCAAAATAATTATACTTTGCATAAAATATCTAAAATTTCATCAAAGAACTAACCTTTGCTCTTGACATGAGAAATTTAACAGCTCGATCATGGCATATATCTGAGGCACTATACAATAATTCCTGGATATTATTTGCCAGTTTTTCTAGCTCTAAATCAGTTAATTTCATGTCTTCATTGACCCTGAAAATGACAAAAGAGATTAAGTCACGGAAATTGTGAGTATATTGTTCTCGATGGGTAGCATACCAATAAAAACCAAAAAGTTGTAAATTCACATCTGACAAAAAATTCTGTGATATATCAAATGCTTTTTGTGTGTTTGGTGAAACATCACTTAAACAAGCTCAGATAATACAAATATTTTACCCTAATATTATATAAAAATAATTTTCTCCATCTATGCATGGGTGCCCAGGATGACACACTGGAAGGAGGAAGGAGAGATGTTAGTTCATGACAAACAGGCACTCTTTTTTTTTTTTTACCTAGAATTATGAATGATTGTTAATACTCAGTTCAACTGAGCTAATATTTCCTGAACATTTATTGTGTTTAAGTGCTAGGTACATGAGGGGACACAATAGGTGGCTGTCCTTAAGGAACAGTTCTGTGGGACCTGGTATCAAAATAGCACTGGACTCTTTATGTGGAAGTAATAAATATGAGTTCAGAAAGATAAACATATGGGAAAACAGAAAAAAGACTCATATTATTATACACAAAAATAAATTCCAGATGGATTGTACATCTAAATGTGATGAGGGTGGCAACAAAGCTTCTAGAAGATAAGAAAATATGATCAGGGCCTTAGGATAGTTTGGAAAGATTTCTTAAATAAGACAAAGAAGGGCAGTCCAGGTGGCTCAGCGGTTTAGCGCTGCCTTCAGCCCAGGGGGTGATCCTGGAGACCCGGGATGGAGTCCACGTCAAGTCAGGCTCCCTGCATGGAGCCTGCTTCTCCCTCTGCCTGTGTCTTTGCCTCTTTCTCTCTCTGTGTTTCTTGTGAATAAATAAATAAAATCTTTAAAAAAAAAATAAGACAAAGAAAAAAAAAAGCAAAAACCACAAAGGAAAAGAATGAATCACAGGATTACATTAAAACTAGGAACTTTTGTTCATCAAAAACCCCAGTAAGACTAGAAAATTCTTATAATCTGGACAACCAACAAAAGGATTGTGTTGAGACTACATAAAAAACTCCCATAAATCAATAGGTAAAAGAGAAACCAATAGGGAAGTGGGCAAAGAACTTGAATTGGTTCTTCACAGAAGAGGACATCCAAACAGCCAATGAATATATGAAAAACGATCTCTTACCAATCATCAGGAAAATAAAAATTAAGACTAATATACCTGCAACATATCCACCAGAATGGCAAACATGTGAAAGACTGACAGTATCAAGACTAAATGAAGATGTGTAGTGACAGGAGCTCTTTCACATTGCTGATGGGATTGCACATTGACCATTCACATACCTTATTCATAGAATATTCAACAGAAATGCTTATAACATGTGCACCAAAGACACTTAGAAGAATGTTCACAACAATCAAAATGCAAATAACTCAAATTGAATTTATGGTAGGATAAATACATTGTGGTATAGTCAGAAAGTGAAATATTCTGCACACAAATTAAAATAAATTACTGTTATATGCAAAAACTTAGAAGAACATCACAAACATAATAATGCTGAATGAAAGAGATTTGAGATAAAAGAATATGATTTCATTTATGGTTCCATTTATATAAAGTTTAAAGGCAAGAAAAAAGAACCATTTTTCATGGATTCCTTTGGTAAAGAGTAAAAACGTAGTCACAAGAGAGGTTTCTAGAGAGCTGGTGATGTTCCATTTCTTAACTTGGATGATGATTACACCAGTGTATTCACTTTGTGGTATTTGAGGTGAAAACAGATAACCGATGTATTGGCCTATATGTGCATTATGCTCCAATTAAAAAGTTAAAACAAAAAAGGCAGGTACCAGCTCTTTCTCCTCTCCATCCTATTGTTAGGAATACAGATTTGATTATAAAAGCTGAAGCTGCCTCTTTAGAAACAGATGGAAGCTACAAAACGAGGATGGCAGAGCTGCCTTAGTGATTGTGGACCTCTTACCTCTGAACTGTTGTATCAAAGATACTAATTCTATGCTACAGAGGTTTTTTTTTTAATATATTTTTTTAATTTTTATTTATTTATGATAGTCACACACACACAGAGAGAGAGAGAGAGAGAGAGAGAGAGAGAGAGAGAGGCAGAGACACAGGCAGAGGGAGAAGCAGGCTCCATGCACCGGGAGCCTGATGTGGGATTCGATCCCGGGTCTCCAGGATTGCGCCCTAGGCCAAAGGCAGGCGCTAAACTGCTGCACCACCCAGGGATCCCCTATGCTACAGAGGTTTTTACACCTTTTGTAATAGTTTCAGACTGCACCCTAACCAATAAATGTGAAATATTAGACTGAACAGAGAAAAAATATTTGTATTAATATGTAGTTCAGGGTTTTCTTTTTGGTGGGGATAGGAGTATGATAGCTGACTTTATGCTAAACTGTAACCTTTATAAGCTCCTGGGACATAAGCTGACTTCTATAAAAATGAAAAAAAGTACATACCAAATTCTTGTTATTCTTAATAACTAAATCCAAACTGTGTTCTTGGAACTGAAAGATTTTATTAGCTTTGTTTTGCTTTGCTCTATACAAAAGATTACTGGGACAACAGGTGAATTTTACATTTGGTTAGATGGTAATAATCTATCAATGTTTTCTTGATTCTAATTGGCATATGGTAGTTATTTAAGAAAGTATTCTTGTATTTTAGGAAATATACACTGAAGAATATGGAGATAATGGGACATCATGTCTGCAATCTTTTGCCAAATGATTCAGAAGAAAGTATTAACATGAGAGACAAGAAGAGAAGGGAGCAAGAAAGAGGAAGGGAGAGACAAGGCAATGCAGTAAACTGTTAAGAAATGAGAAATCAAGGTAAAGGATATATGACTTCTTTTGTACAACTCTAGCAACTTTTCTGTAAATTTGAAATTATTTCAAAATAAGTTTTAAAAAGTCATGTTTGAAAAGATGGTGTGATCCACTTGCAAATTCACATCTTTGGCAAAAAATGGTCAATCGAACAGATCTTCACTATACACAAAATACAAAGGTATCATAGTAGAAGAAAGAAAAATAAACAAGGTAATGCTTATCTGATTTCCAAGACAAGTTCCACCACTAGTAACTTTAAGTAAGTGGACTAAACTCTCTGAAATAAGGCATTTAATTAAATGGTTCCTTTCCAGCCTTAAAATTCTGCAGTTCTCAATTACTTCCAATGCTCACCTCTTTACATTCCATACATTTTCAAAAAGATATGTTTCATAAAGTTAATTTATTTTTGTTAAATTAAATTCCAATACTGAAGTTCATATGGTTCTTTCAATAAACTGTCTTGTTGAAACCATTAATAAGATGACTCAAAGTCATGTAAAGTTCGCAGCAGTCACTATACTCACATAATATCCACACCTCCTGGAGTAGCAGATGATGATGTCTGCTCTTTGCTGGATGAAGAATCAGTAGTACATTCTGGTTCGGATACCGAATCACTGCTGCAGGGCTCACTATTTGGAGATGCATTTCTTTGAGAGGTAGTATCAATTGCTATAGGTGTTAATTCACTCTCATTGAATGCATCACTTATAAACATGCCTTCATGGGTTAAATAAGCCACCTCTGTGTCCAGTGAATTGTCTTTTGTAACATTCTTCTGTTGTGAAATCTCCTCCAATTCTCTGGTCCTTCGGTTTTTGTCGAGAACTGAGAGAACAACACTGTGAATGATATTTAACGTTGCCTGTAAGAAAACAGGATACATTTTTAAAGGATTTAAAATAACACATATCTAAAGTTCCCAAAAGTGCATTCTGCACATTTACTTTTGAATATCTTATAAATGAGCACCAATGTTATGCATATTAGAATTTCTACCAATTTTTTATCACACAGTAAAGGTGACTGTGAAAAACAAGAGAAAGCTTAGTAATAGAATTCTGTATTTTAAGTGATTTTGTAAGTTGAAATTTCCCTAAAATATATTGCATACATACTAAATAGTTTAAATAGCCTACACTAAACAAAACATAACTTGCCTATCATATATCTGGTATAGAGTTAAATAGCCAGAATATATAAAGAACTCTTATAACAAAAAAAAATCTGATTAAAAAATGGGCAGAAAAAAAAATATTTCTCCAAAGAAGACACGCAAATGGCAGATTAGCACATGAAAAGATGTTTAACATCACTAATCATTAGAAAAATGCAAATTAGGGATTCCTGGGTGGCTCACTGGCAGAGCTCTGCCTTTGGCTTGGTGCATGACCCTGAGGTCCTGGGATATAGTCCTGCATCAGGTTTCCTACAGAAAGCCTGCTCTGCCTATGTCTCTACCTCTCTCTTGGTGTATCTCACAAATAAATAAATGCAATCTTTAACAGTAAAGAAGATGCAAATCAAAACTAAAATGAGAGACCACCTCACACCCATTAGAGTGATATTATAAAAAAAAAAACAGGTGTTAGAATATGGAGATATTGGAACCACTGTATACTGGTAGATTAAATAACAACTTCAAATAGTTTGTTCTTGTAATATAGTAAACACTTATAAACAATATTTTCTTTCTCTCTCTTTTTTAAAGATTTATTTATTTGAGAAGAGAGGGAGAAAGTGTATGGGGGAAGGGTGGAGAGAGTGTATGGGGGAAGGAAGGGGTGGGGGGAGGGAGGGAGAGGGGGGAGAGAGAGAGAGAGAGAGAGAGAGAGAGAGAGAGAGAGAAAATCCCAAGCAGACTCCACACTGAGCGTGGAGCCTGATGCAGGGCTCAATCCCACAACTCCAAGATCATGACCTGAGCCAAAATCAAAAGTCAGACACTCAACCAACTGTGCCACTCAGGTGCCCCCAAAACCACCTTTCCTGATCACAAAAGTTATACATCCCTTTGTGGAAAATTTAGGAAAAATAAACAAAAAATAATAATAAATTTAAATTATACTGTCAAAAGATAACTACCAAAAAGACAAACTCTTTGTTACACAAAGATAAAAAGATAAATCTTTTTAAAATAGCTGAGCTCATACTATGTAAATAGGTCTATATTTTGCCTTTTTACTTAATGTTATAATATACACATTTTTTTTTTACAACATTGAAAATCCTCAGCTGCATGATAGTCCATAGTAATGAATATATCAAGCACAATTTACCATTCCTCTACTGTTAGACATCTGGGTTCTTTCCAATTTGTAATTATTTAAAAATTCTCAATTAAAAATGAACAGCTTGCAATTAACACTACTTTTCATTGAAATCATACCCTTACAGAATCACAAACTTTTTTCAAAGAAAAAAGTACCATATTTATAGATTATATATCATCTTCAGAGATGTTTTACAGAAGTATTAGCTTATGGGGTCTAAATGTGAAAATGAGAAATGACAACTATCACAAATCACTGTTCCCATACTCTACATATATCAATAAAAATTTGGCTTAATTTAACTGATACAAAACCTAAAAGTGAAATAGCTATTTAAAAAATCACTGGCAAAAGATATGAAGCAATAGAAGTACCATCCAAAAATGAATGGGATAAAGCAGATGTAGTGCACACGTGCGCACACACACGGATATTAGTCAACCATAAAAGACTGAAATCTTGCCATTTGCAACAACATGGATGAATCTAGAGGGCAAAATGCTAAGTGAAGTCAGTCAGAGAAAGGCAAATATATGATTTCACTCATATATGGAATATAAAAAACAAAACAAAGAACAAAAGAGACAAAAAACCAGACTCTCAAATATAGAGAACTGGTGGTTGCCAGAGGGAAGGTGGGTAGGGGGTGGGTGAAAAAGGTGAGGGGGATTAAGGGTACACTTATCATGGTGAACACTGAGTAATGTATAGAATTGTTGAATCATTATAATGTACACCTGGAACTAATATAATACTGCATGTTAATTATATTTAAATTTAAAAATTACTGGCAAAATGTTAGCCAATTCTATAATTTGCAGTGTAAGAGTTCTATACATCACAGACATGCAATAACAGAAGAGTATGTGATACAGTCATGGTGGGAATATAAGAAAAAGTGAACACATGGCCTAGTGTTTGAGCAATCCACAGATACAGTTTTGTTCTCTATCACTCTCAGTAGGTGGGGTCCACATTTTGGCAGAAGTCTAAATTAAGTGAATCACATCTTAAAAAAAACTTTCCCACTCAGATATACATGACTTAACATCACTCCAATATTGATAAGGAAAAGTCATGTCACAGATAAGTACCAAAGTCCCCCAGACCATTTAACAAGATACTTAAGAGATGATAGGGGGAAAAAAAAAAAAAAGAGATGATAGGGATGTTAACTAACACATGTAACACAATAGTGCCATCTGATAATCCAAAAAATGTTAAATTTCACAAACAGCCTGTTACATTCAGTAATTCCTAATGACCGTCTTATTAAAACACAGCTATGTCATCTTGGTAATTCTAATCAAAATGTATTATTAGTCTATGACATCCTTTCTTCTGAAAAATGCTGTGTGGCATGTGTTTTTTTCCTTATACTGAGTGGCTTAAAATTAAGTGATTTGACTACTGAGAATAATTAAATGTAATGTATAATCCTCGACTGGCTTTCAGATTAAAAAGTGAAATAAAAACCTAAAATGAAGGACATAAGTAAAGCAATTTAAATTTGAACTATATGTTAAAAAATACCATTATAGCAACATCAACTATTTCTAGAAAAAATAAGTGGTTTGGAACAGATTTTTGAGTGTTTTATAATATTGTACCTCTAGATAATCCAGAGAGATTCAAGAATCACAAAATCACAAGAGGAAATATTACTGTATAATATTTAATGCAAAGCAAGCATTATATTTTTAATATAAAACAAATCATTAAAAATTAGAGTATCAAAGTACTCTGAAGCACTTCAAATCTTACTTGAAACCAAGCTTCTTTAGAAAAATTACAAAAACAAATTGTGTTTTTCTTCTAACTTTTTTCTGTATGTATGTTATACATCTAGAAAGTAGACTTACTTTTAGGGATATTCTGGACAAACTGATAATCACATAGGCTTACCTTAACTCTTTGTAGGAAAATTGTAAACTTAGAGAAAATATCCTTTAGTAAATCAAACCACTGAGGAAAATTCAACATTCTCATCTGATCTGCAAGCCTAAGGGAAAAAAAAAATTCAACAAAAACAATGACTGTCTTTGGGCAGCTAGAATTTATTTTTTATTTTTATTTTTAAGATTTTGTTCATTTATTCATGAGAGACAGAGAGAGAGAGAGAGAGAGAGAGAGAGAGAGAGAGAGAGGCAGAGACAAAGCAGAGGGACAACCAGGCTCAAGGCAAGGAGCCTGAGGGGGGACTCAATCCCGGGACTCCAGGATCATGCCCTGGGGCGAAGGCAGGCACCAAACCGCTGAGCCACCCAGGGATCCCCTAGAATTTATTCTCAAAAGATGATTCTATACTTAAGACATAGGAATTTATCTATTTAAGTTGAGAAAGTTTCATAGGGAAGAAAATTATAAATAACTGACTCTCCATGTCCATAGGGCTTTTAACAGAATCTAAATAACTTAATTTTTCCAACTACTAGTGACACCAGCATTGTTACAGTTGCTTCAACTAATTCTGAAACAGCGTTTTCGCTAGATAACAATGTGGAAATTAAAACTCCTCAATTCTTATTCTTTGAGTTTGGCCTGGAGAAGTTTCACAATTATCCATATTGCTATTTATACCTTGGTCCAGTTAATAAAGTTTAGGGATCTATATGAAATAGAAATTCATAGAATCTATCACTTATCTTCTCAAAATGAACGAATAGGAATTTCAGGGGTGAAAACAAAAAATTACAGTTAGGCAATTCAAAATCACATACTCAAATTTCTCAAAGCCAATTAGAAGCTAGGCTTTAATTACAGAGCTAAATAATTTAAACTTAATACTGCTATTCCTCTAAAATGGATTATCTTCAATTTCCCTCCTCCATATCTACATTGTCCTTTCCATCCTCTTTCTACCCTGAGAGGCTGACCTGCTGGGCTTGGCCAATGAGGAGCACTGGAAAGAGCAAAGGTACTATAACTCCATTTCCCTCCCTGAGAGGCTATCTCAAGATGATTGCCTCTCACACTGACAATCACTTCAACTATTAGTCTTTTTTTTCTTCAACTAAGTGTCCTCCTTCTGAATCCTACTAATTTTTCTCATCCCTTGTCCCTTAAAGGTCCTGAGCTGTCACTTGTGATTTTCCTACACTCTACCCAAACCTGAGTAAATAATTCCTTAACTAAATCCTCCTTAAATTATTCTAATGTGTCATCTTTTCCCTAACTGATAACCCCCAACCTAATATTTATACTTACTTCATAACAATATCTGTGTCAATTTCTTCTATTTGTGATACTTTATTAATCACACACTGCAAAATTTAAGAAAAAAATTTGATTAATGTCTTTAAAATTTTAAGTACTAAATGGTTCATTTGTATATTAAAAATGACCTCAATGACTATGAAGATCATTTTACTAGATTTCTCTTATGGCTTTTACATATACCTCAAGGTGTATAAAAAACTGCAGGATTATACCCTTACCTTTTAAATAATTATTCCAGGGTATGCTTGAACTGTATTAATTTAAATCCCCTACTATTTAAAACTATTCAAAAAACATACATCAAACACACAACACCCAGAACTATAATTCTTAGGAACAAGGTAAAAAAACCCATATAAAAATTTCAAAAGAAATTCATTTGGGGGGTTATGTTTTCTTGCAATATACTCAATAGTTTTTTTAAAAGATGCTTAGCCCTCAGGAGAATCCTGGGAATTATGACATAGGAGTTTTTTAAAAAATTGTTTAGAAGTATAACCTACATACAGAAAAATTAGACAAATTATGTTCACAGCTCAATAATTTTTTACAAAGGAGTACACTTGTGTAATGAGAACTCATGAAATTGAACACTGCCAGTAAGCTCCTCTTGCTCCCCTCCTAGTCACTACTTCCTCCCAAAAGATAATACTACTTTGATTTCTAATACCATAGATTAATTCTATGTTTGAATTTTACAAAGGTGTAATCATACAATGTATACCCCTTTATATCTATTTTCTTTGGCTACGTTATGTATGTGATAATCATCTATGCTGCTTCATGTAATTTATTCATTCTCATTAGTACTCAATTGTATAAATATACCACAATTCTATTGATCTTTTCTGATGACAGAATTTGGGTTTTTCAAAAAAACAAAAGAATCTGGGCTTTTCGAGTTTTTTATTACCAATAGTAACACCATGCATGATATTTGGTGCTGTCTTTGGTGAATTTATGTATGCATTTCTGTTAGGTAAATACCTAGAAGCAAAATTGCTGAGTCTTTTTTTTTTTCTTAAGATTTAATTTATTCATTCATGGGGTGGGGGGGCAGAGACACAGGCAGAGGGAAGAGCAGGCTCCATGCAAGGAGCCCTATGCGGGACTTGATCCCGGGTCTCCAGGATCACGCCCTGGATGTGAAGGCAAGCATTAAACTGCTGAGCCACCCAGGGATCCCAAGAATGGTTTAGTCTTAATATATGTGTATAGTTAGTGCTAGTAGCTATTGTCAACAATTTTTGAAAGTGGTTATAACAATTTTAAAATACAGTGTTTCAGTCAATGTTTGAAAGAGGTAAAAGATGGGGTGATTATAATTTCTTTTTTGCTTATTTTATTTAAATTAAAAACTCAGAAACAAACATTCAACCTAATGACAATGATCAGTTATGCCTAATAGATATATTTAAAATTGCTTTTTCATATTTAGAAAAACTGAAGTTTAACTAATGATATTCATCTGAGTAAAAAGGCAAAACAAAGATGAGGAAAGACTGAAAAAACACAGATTTTAGTTTACAATTATCATTTGAGAGATGAGGATAAGAGGAAATAAATCTTTACCTACTGCTGGTAGGTTGTATTTGGTAAAATCTTTTTAGAAAGCAATTCAGCTTTATCAAACAATTTAAAAATACTTTCCACTCTGACCAATAATTCAATTTCTAGGAATTAGCTGTAAGAAAACAGTCATAACTAAGGAAAAACAAACAAAACTTTATACCAAAGATGTGTGTCACAGTGTTCTATAACACCAAACTGAAAACAACTTATATATTCAACATGGAGGAAGGCATAATATAATGATGGAGTTTTATACAACCATCAAAAATGATGTTTCTGAAGGCTGAAATGAAAAAATGCTTATGTTATGATTCTAATTGAAATATATATATATCCATATATACAATTCAAAACCATATATACAGTATGATAGCAGAGGTGAAAAACATCAGTAACAATTTACACTCAGAAATATTAAAGTGATAATCTTTTGGCTGGTAAGACTTTTTTCTTCTATTCTTCCATATTTTGAGTTTTTAAATGAGAAAATGTTACTATTATAACTGCCTATATTATCACTAGGATCATGTAAAAATAAACTTATTTAAAAGATTCTAGACCAAAATATATCAAATAAAAACGTATAATTACCTGTTTAATGATATTCTTTGCTGTAATAATCATTTCTTCACTATAGATTTCTAAAAAATTAAGTTTTCTTTGTTTTAAAAGTCCAAATACAAGAGATACAAGCCTTTCCTATTAAAATAAAAGTACAAAATTTCACAATTTAAATATGAAATAATCTCACTCAGAAGTAGAACTATTTAACATCATGGGTTTTATTATTTAATCTTCAAATCCCTATCCTGCAAATGGTATTTTCTAGAAGCCTAAAAAAAAAAACCAAAAAAACAAAAAAACCCTAAAACCCTTCCATAGCAATCTTGTCATCAGATTATTGGAGTCACTGTTTTAATACAGGTCAATCTTAATTCACTGTAGTGGATCAAATGAAGCTGGTTTGGGGGCAAAACAATATAAGCACATTTTGGCCTAGTTTCAATAAGTAGCTAGAAAATATCCTTCTCAAACCCCGATGATGTATAAATACTCCATGAGCCCCGTACTTTTTAGTTAGTGATCAAGAAGACTGAAATGATGACCTGGACTATTTGTGGGGGATTAACTACTAACAAATATAAACATCTCTTTAGTTAGGCTGCTGTCAGGGCTTCTGGATTCTTTACTAGTTCTTGGCAGTAAGCAGCACTGAAAAGTTAGCAGATAAGAGAAGCATGGATTTGATGTATTTATACATATGCATGTATAAAACATGATTATAAGGGGTTCGGTGACTATATATGACTGATAAGTTACTATATAATAATGATCACTTTTATAAAAGACATACACCAATACATGGATACATATGGATATGTTAGTTCATCCTATATCTAGATTTTAAACTTTATTTGTAAGCTATATATGACCTCATTTTAAATCCAATTTCTAATTAAGCTATAAAATTACTTTATTCTCTAACTTCACAGGATAATGAACAATTATGGTGCTTGCTAAAGTCACACAGTTAGTAGAGGACTTCATAGAAGTCTGACTGAGCTTGAAATTTAAGATAATTTTGCTGACTATAATCTGAGAAGAATGTGCTCTAAACTAAGACTGTTAGGAATTAACACTAAGCAACATCAATTTCATCCACAGTTCAAAACATATACCTCAAAAAAATAACAAAACAAAACAGAACACATACCTCTTCTAAAATTTGACAATCATCTTCCAGTGGTCTGTTTAAATCACTGTGAGAATAAGTAGAAAATTCTGCAATCATCATTTTATCTATCAGTTTTTCTAATTCACAAAGTTGTGATCCCAAATGCCTACAAAGGAAGAGGAAAACATAACATTTATTCATTAAAAACCCAATTCATTCCACAATCAAGAAAACTAGTAGGCAAAACTTTTCTAGCTGACAGCATTTGTGCAATAATGTGATACTTGAGTAAAATGGAGTCTTTTAACTTAACAAAAAAAATAACTGTGATAGTTTCATATCATCTCCCAAATTCTTTTTTTCTTTACATGCTTAGCCTCCAAACACTTATATGTATTATAGGAAACATGATTCTAGAAATTTCATGACTGCTTTTTTGCTGCTTCTCACAGACAAACTATTCAGGTATTCTAAATCCTTTCCTAATTGACCATTTACTGAATAGCAATGTCAGCAGCTCCCCAGCCATTCACTTATCCCATAAATACAAGTGGCCCTGCTGGGGTGGATTTAAATACCTGAAGGACTACAGGGACAGATTGACTCAATTCAATCTGTTATGAACAGTCTGAGTTACTGGGCAATTCCCCTCAGGTCATTACCCCGAAAAGTCATTCGGACACAAGACAGGAAATATAAAAATACTAAGCAAGAGTCTATCCTTCGAACTTTTTCTCATAAAATATAAGGTTCCTTTTTAATCCCTCTAATATTTACAGATCCTACATAAGCTTGGAGTAAGGACTCTAATCAGATGGTCAAAGTTGTGAGGGTGGTAAAGGCAAATACTACTAATGGGATTTGGAAGCTTTTCCCTAGAGAAAGCATACAGTATCCAAAGGACAAGAATGATCCCATTTAAAAAAAAAAAAATGATCCCATTAAGTCCCTGTTCATGGGGGCTCTTAGGATCACTATCTTCATATACTAAAGGATCTTTACCATACAGTCTAATAGCTTCATAAAAACAATGGGTAATACAGTCAGTCCAAAGTATTTAAAAAATTAAGTGAAATAGGCCAATGAGAAATTTGTTTATACATAATAAAAAAATTTTTAAAGCTCTATTCTTTGGTGCATTTTCAAAACATGTATATTTAAATGTCTAAATTTAAAATTTATCTTAAATTATTATTATTGAATAGAAAACATTTAAAAACATATATACTCCAACCAGAGACCATATTTTTAGAAATTAGCTTAAAACATGTGACCTAAAAATAAATAAATTAATTAAATAAATAAAACATGTGACCTTTAAATCCCTTGTTCTTTATGTAAACAACATTTGGTAAGAAATGATAAATTTGAAAACATCTGATGTGAAATAATGTATAAATTTGCAATATGAAAATTTTACAATATGAAATTATATTTCTTACAGCTAATTAGAAGACTAAGAAGATTCTCATAAATGGCACCAACATTTCACAATAATCTAATTTTGAACATATTCACTAGTACAAACTTGTATTGGCAGTGTCTAGCAAAAGTATACAGGTAATTAACCTTTGACCTAGGAATTTCATTTCTCACTATCTGTCTCAAAGATACACTCATAAAAATACAAAAGAACATACATTCATTGCAGCACTGTTTGAAACTACAAAGGAATAGAAACCACCCAAATGTTGACCTATGGGGGTTAGTTAACTGTATCATAACAGACACTAATGTACTGTTAAAAGAATTGAGGACTACCAATTAACATATATTGCTACAGAGCAGTTTCTCAATCTTTTTTTTTCCATTGTTGCCCCAAGAATCCTTTTTAGACATTTTTATTCCTAATCACCCCGCACGTACACTTAATATCACAGATATACTGTATATCTGTTTATGTACCTTGGCCCTTTGGAGGGCCACAAGCCATTATTAATATCCAATTTTTTTTCACCCTTAAAAGAATCAATTCTTGCTCCCTTAGGATGATATCCCCTCATTGAGAAGACACACTGTAAAGTGACCTCCAGGGTATACTGTAAGGTGATAATAGCAAGGTAATGCAAAGTAATACAGTATACTAATGCTTATCTAAGATGAGGGACAGATAGATGGCTGGATGGATGACGGATAAATATAAATTAAAACTTCTAAAAATGGTGACTTATAGGGTAGGTAGGAAGGAAGGAACCAGAGAGAAGTTAAATTTCTTTGAACATCCTTTGTTTCAGAGATCTGACTTTGGAACCACGTAACTGCTCATGGACATGTTATAGCACAACATTGCATTTAAAAATTTCAACCCTGAGGGCGCCTGGGTGGCTCAGTCCATTAAGCACCTGCCTTTGGCTCAGGTCATGATCCCAGGGTCCTGGGATGGAGCCCCACATTGGGCTCCCTGCTCAGCAGAGAGCCTGCTTCTCTCTCTGACCCTCCCCTCACTCATGGCAGTGCTCTATCTTAAATAAATAAAATCTTTAAAAAAAATTAATTTAACTGCACATCAAGTTAGCAGCAAATGTATACAAAGAGGAATTATTTCAAGTGACTTTAAAATATAGAAATGTATCTATTTATATATACAGTATATCTTAAGTGAACTTAAGGAGGCTCCTACAAAAGACATAACAATCTGAACGTTGACAAAAACAAAAACAGCAAAAAACTTAAATACTTCAAGTATATGTAAATTCACATGTTTATAAAAATATATTTTTAAAAAATCAGTTACCTTTGGAAGATGCTAGATTTTCAATTCATCATTTTTAAAACTGCTAAGTAAGAAAAAGGCATCTAGAATTTATCCTGCCTCTCCTTGTAAGAATTGTCCTTCAGTGTTACCAAATTGCTATGGAGAAATACCACTTTATAGAAATATTCCAATTAATAAATGAATAAGGAAGTATAGAACTAGATTATTATTATTTGTAACTCATAATGAGATGATAAATCTAAGCAGTGATCATCAAATGGCTGCTAATATCATAAAAGGAGAGACAACCAAATAATATGCCCTTTTTTTTTTGGATTTGGAATCTGATCTTTTACTTAAATATAAATGCCTTACTGAAATGTTACAATAATATCTCTTTTTTTTTGCCGAGATAAAATAAGTGTATTTTATTAGTTTCAAGGGTAGAATTTAGTGATCCATCAGTTGCATACAATACACTGTGCTTATTACATCAAGTGCCCTCTTTAATGCCCATCACCAATTATCCCTTTCCCCCATCTGCCTTCCCCAGAAATATGTCTCTTGGCTAAAATTAAAATACACACCACTACCTATTAGGTGTTCCTGCTAAAAAGTAAACCTTCACTCTAATCAAGCATTTTAAGTCTAACTACCAATTTACAGAAAATATAGGCAAAGGATTAAAAAAAACACCAATGACTGTAAGACATAATAGAATGTTGTAAAATTTCATTAGAGCATATAAACAAAATGTTCTGGGAGTTCAGAATTCACAAAAACAGTTGATACAGAAAATAATATCATGGTCAAAAAATATAGAAAGAATGAGAAAAAAGAAAACATGCATAAGCATTTTTTTTACTGCCACTATTCTATGCTATTAGCTTCATATTATACAGAAGAATCATTCACAAATAAGGACATTCACATTCCTCTTAGAGATTACCAATTGTAGCAAATAGACTACAGGAAGATTTGGGAATGAAAGTTCCCTTTAAAAACATTAGAAAGAACGTTGGAGCTAAAAGCAAAACTTGGACAAAGAGCTCTCAAATGGAAACACTGTTACCAAATTAATCCCACAGAGTCCCTCCACTGCTACTAACAAAAAGTTTTTTTAAGATTTTGTTTATTTATTCATGAGACTCACAGAGAGAGAGGCAGAGACAGGCAGAGGGAGAAGCAGGCTCCATGCAAGGAGCCCGATGTGGGATCCGATCCCGGGACCCCAGGATCACGCCCTGGGCTGCAGGTGGTGCTAAACCATTGAGCCACCTGGGCTGCCCGACAAAAAGATTTCCTATTTTAAGACCCTATGCTTTTCTAAGATTTGCCTCCACAAAAATGACTAAAATTTGGTTTCTAGTATAAAAGAAAAAGAAAAATGTGTGAAATTCAAGCACCAATGTCTTTTAACTCCTCCTGGGAAGGCATAATCATTTTAATAAACTAAGAACACAGTTTACGTCACTAATGCTTTTGAGTAGACAAGAGACAGAAAATACACATTATCTTAATTGATCAAAAATATAAAGGGTTCAAAACTAATTCTTACGCTTCCAAATAAAACTATGGGCCTTAAAAATATTTGTGAAGCTACAAAATAAGAAACTAATGTTAATAATAGTGTTAAAGTCAAGAAAGTAAATCATCAACATAAGATTTGACAGTAATTAAAACAAAACTGGGTTATTTCAACTGTAAGTATTCTTGATTAGAAAAACATTTTTCTTTTAGAATACTTTCATCTTTGGAAATTATTTACATATGAAGATGTTTATCAAAGTCAGAGACTCAACATAAGTTCTGATACCAAACTTTTATATAGTTATAACCAACTGGAACTGACATTTGATAAGCAGCTTTACGGAACTGTTTCATTGGAAGAATAAACACTCTTTATACACATGTGTAGGTTCTAAAAAAATAATAAAATAGAAAGATACTTGAGTAAAATGTAGACAATGAAAATATTTGAAAGTCTTTTTAAAAATCATATATACTTTATGAAAACTTTGTCCCTTAAGGTACAAACAAAAAAAGTTAAGATTGAAAGTAAAGGCAAACTCTTCCTTTGGCTCAAAATAAATAAAAGATTATAAAATTTTCATCCTGTCTTCCAATAAGTCATAATGTACTGGCAATAATAATCAACAGGGTTCTTAAATATTTTCCAGACAGCTTTGGATAACTATACTTTTCATCAGTATTATTGGACATAAACTGAAGAGTCAAGGAACATTAAGTAGAATGAAATATGATCTTGGGGATAAAAATTATAAGAGTTTAGAATTTGTTTTTAGCAGGCAGGCAGCATTCAATATTTGATTTATTTCTCAGCGCTGTCCTACTCAGAGGATAAAAGTACTCTATAGAATCAGCTTCAAATATTTATCAACATTCATAGTATTATACAGTGAAAGATACAACATCTGTCATTACAGAAGTCAATTTTTCTAAAGTAGTGATAAAATTAGTGCTATTTACTTTAAAAATATATTCCAGGGTGCCTGGGTGGCTCAGTCAGTTAAGCACTGGACTCTTTGTTTCAGTTTATGTCATGATCTAATAAGGGTCATCAGACTGAGCCCCACGTAGGGCCCTGCATTCAGCGCAGAGTCTATTTGTCCTTCTCCCTCCCGTCTCTCCCCTTGCTCTGTCTCTAATAAGTAAATAAAATCTTAAAAAATAAAAATAGGGACACCAGGGTGGCTCAACTGGCTAAGAGTCTGCCTTTGGCTCAGGTCATGATTACAGGTCCTGAGATTAAACCCAGAATAGGGATCCCTGCTTAGTGGGGAGTCCACTTCTCCCTCTCCCTCTGCTCCTCTTCCCCCTCCACCCCACTTGTGCTCTCTCTCAAATAAATGAATAAAATATTAAAAAATAAAAAAAAATAAAAATATATTCTATTCAGACATTCAGAAACAGAAATATTTAAAATTTCAGAGTGAAAGGGAAACTAAAAATCATTTTGTCCATGCTAGGAAATCCAAAGTAGGCTTCAAAGAACTATGATCCACCCAAAAATGATTGCAAAATTTTAGGTACCGGTATGTCTTTATGGAAAGAAGATCTAATTAGCAGTGTTCAATAGATTCTCAAAGAGGTTTGTGACTCAGACATTTTCTTTAGACATTCAAGTCTAGATTAGGTTCCTTCCCTAAGGTTAGAGCTCCGTGACAATCCGTACATTCATCATCATACAGTATTGCACAGCATGATGACTACCCAGTAATTTCTGTCTCCTTTATTCTGCCAAATAAATTGTAGAAACAGAGCAGAGAGCATCTCTGCTTTGTTCATGGCAATATTCTCAGTAATGTGCATGGTGTCTCACATGTAAAGGTGATCAATAACCATGTCTTGAAGGAATGAATCAATCATTTATGTCATTAAATTTGGGCCACCTTTCAAAAAAATGTGTTCTAGGTAAATATTCCAATACCTATCCCTAGTCAATAAGAACTTATAATTCAGTTACATTTCTCCTGAAGCTAACTTTTCCAGAATATATTAAATATATATTAAGTTACAGAATACATCTTCCATACAAACTTTTTAATAGTCACTTAATAGAGTAAGGTTTGGATAGATTTCCCAGCAAACAGGGGCTTCTACAAGTACATTGCAAGCCTGCTTAACTGAATGAAACTCTGATGGTCTGTACTTGGTTTATCCATAAATTAAATATTTTGACATGATCTCACAGAAAATAGTTAAAACCCTAATATTAAAAACATTTTCAAAATAAGAACTTGGGAAAAATTGGGTCTTTTCCATTACCTTATAGAATTTTTTGCAATGTGATAAACAGACTGCAAATCAGAAATGAATTTTAATAATTACCACATAATTATATATAAATGTAATAATTGCATTATTAAATAAATATTAAACTTAAAATCTATTCAAGAACTTTTAAAATGAACTTACTTTTATTTTTTTTAAAGATTTTATTTATTCATGAGAGACACAGAGAGAGAGAGGCAGAGACATAGGCAGAGGGAAAGCAGATTCCCTGTGGAGAGCCGATGCGGAACTCAATTCCAGGACCCCAGGATCACGCCCTGAGCCAAAGGCAAATGCTCAACCACTGAGCCACCCAGGTGCCCAAAATGAACTTAATTTTAGATATACTGGTATTCCTTCCTGCACCTTGATCTACTAACTTGACACAAAACTATTTCAACATTTTCAAAATGTTATTTTCAAAGTTGTGACCGGCCTTTCATAGGTACCATCTACCAAAAATTTAATTTTGTTTCTCCATCCAAATGTTTATGTAAATATTGTTCATTACAGTTTTTGTTGTGCTATGACTAAAATATCACAATGATAACATTACTAAACAGATCTGGAAGAAAAAATATTCATGTAACTTTCATCCATACAAACTTCCTCAGCTAACATTACACACTAAAATTTATCCTTTACGAACTTCTAACATTATTTCTAAAAGCTTAAAGGACATACCGGAAGCTGTGAATGCCCTGAAGTTCCTGCTGTAGAACCTCTTGTGTTGTTGCTATTAAGTCCAATGCTCCAACAAATTCAGAAGTGGATAACAACACCTGTACTGTAGGCTGAGTCTGGTGTACAGTGGCCATTAACTTGAGTTTATTGTACACTTTCACACAATTGTTTCTGGTAAGTGCCAGTCTTAAAATGTGTAGTGATCCTTCACACATTACTTTATCAATCTGTGCAATCTTATCTCGAAGCATCTTTACAGCCTGGGAAGTTTTCTTGAGGTAGTCCTGCAATTCGTGTTGAGAGGTCATTGCATGAAAAAATGCTTCGGAACGTAGAGAGATCTGGTGAGCAATGTTTACTTCCACAATATCCAGATAATGGCTCAGCTTAAGAAGGAAGAAAAAAAAAATATCATGTGGAGTATTCTAAGATTATCTTCTTTGACTATCCAAATACTTCCTGAAAATGATACAAGATTCCTACATGTATTTTAAATGCCATTATATGAACTACTGGATTATAAGGTTCTTGACATCAGGCATAATAAAATGGAAAGGAGATGAAAGGTAACATGACACAGCATTCATCTTAGCTTCAGTTTTTAAGTCAGACAGACCTGGGTTCAAATTTTAGTTTTGCCACTTACTAACCAGATGACTTTATTCGAATTACTTAGTATGTCTTAGTCTCAGTTTCTTCATCTATAAAATAAGAATACTTATACCTGTATTCTAAGACTGTTAAAAGTAGAAAATTACATATATAAAATACCAGTGCCTGGTACATAGAAGGAGGTCAATAAATGGTTAACTATAATAAACTTTTAGTCAGATGCATGCTGTGTGATGGTGTAGTGGTTAAGGAGATCATTCTATCTCAGACTTCTAAAATAGATCACCATCTTAGATGACTGTGGGGTACTTTTTCTTTCTTGAAAGTAGTTGGTTTGGAGGGCAGTAATAGCAGGAGCAAAGAAAGAAGGTAAATCTGCTTCTTGCACTCTTTTGTCTCATATTTATTAATCTTTGGGTTGCTAAAAAGCAATATGGGGACAAAGCTACTTGAGTACATTACAAGCTAAAGTGGACTCAATTTTCAGAATAGGAAATGGAGAATGAGTAACTCCTTCAGGATACTGCTACTCAGGACGCAGTTCATACAACTGCTGCCAGTTTGTGAACTATTTAACCAGTTCATGATAAAAGGAATTTGCTGGAAAGTAAATCAACTACATCAAGCCCAATAGTGATTTTTCATAGAAAGACTTTGTTTTTCCATAGAAAGACTTCCTTTAAAAAAAAAAAAAAGATTTTATTTATTCATGATAGACATAGAGAGAGAGAGAGGTAGAGACACAGGCAGAGGGAGAAGCAGGCTCCATGCCGGGAGCTCATCGTGGGACTCGATCCCGGGACTACCAGGATTGCGCCCTGGGCCAAAGGCAGGCGCCAAACCACTGAGGCACCCAGGGATCCCCCAAAACACTTTCTTAATAAAGGAAGCAGTGCAATGATTTACATTCTAGTGCAAACTCCTTAATTCATCATAGACCAGGACTTTGGGTAGCACTTCAATAGAATACAAATTATCTAATCCTCTTTGTAGCATTCCCTCTCTTTAAACATAGTAAGATAAAAACAGCTATTTATCAATCATAAAGTGAATCTGAAAGTGTTCTCTTGGAATCCTTTCTTCCATTCCTTTTATAAGAAGAGAGTAGAACGAAAAGGAGCCAGGATAGAAATATAACAAATCTGATACTGTAACTTACCAAAATATAAAATTCCATTACTTTAAACATTTAGCATGAGACAACTGTTTAATTTGAATTTCAAAGATTTCTGCAAGTTATCAATATTCCATTGATCTATTCCTTTCAACGGCATATTTTCATAATTCATTTTCTATTAAAGTTCTATAAAGGGAACAACTTTTAGTCTTCCTAAAAGAATTTAGCAAGTATTAGTATGTAGGATGAGATTTTTATTGGCTTTTGTTGTTTTTCTCTCTTAAGGTATTACTTTAACAGGGAACATATTGGAATGTGAAAAAGCAATGTGGGAGTGAGCCTGTGCCCATAAACCCATAATTTTCATCAGAATCTGTTCTTACTCAAGGAAAATACTTATAGGTAAAAATGCTGCCAAAGGAAAAATGACTTCACTTTTATTTTCAACTGTGAAAAAAGGAGTACTCAGGATCCTTTCCCTACATTTCTTCTCCTCAAACTAATTTTTTCTTTAGTTACTAGACCACATTTATTGAATAATCTTCCGAAGACAAGTTTTCAGACTGCCAAGAGATGTCACTAGCCTGAAACAAAATGCTTTCTTCTTAGTTTAAGAACCAGTTTTAGAACAGCTCTAAACTGCTGAGAAAGAACAGGAATCAAAAGATCTTTACTTCCTATTCAAGTTTTAAAAGATTCTTGATAGGAGTTAAGCTATGTTTAAAACTGTACATTTTAAATGACTTTTAAGATGTTGACTTCTCACTTACAAAATATTGTAAAATTAAAAAAAAACTTCTGACTAATAACATGCAAAATATTAGGCTTTGCAAAGCTAAAAATATACTATTGTATTTTTAATACAATACTGTATTTTGTAACTATCATATTTTTTCTTCAAAATAATCATTCTTACAATGTGGGGAAAAGGAAAAATGGTACCTTAGCAAAAGTTGACTTTCTATACTTCAAGTCATAAAGAATACAAAATTAGCCAATATATTATTTGGGATAAATGTAAGCAATTAAACGTTATCTAATATAACTTTTAAGCTGAAATTCTATCAACTATTTCACATAAGAAGCACTGCAACAATTATCTTTCCCTTTTTCACCAGTATAACTTGTTTTCCATTGAATCAAAATGCTTTCACTTTATCAGTTAAGATATGAAGGCAATAATAGTAACAATGAAATTAAAAGCAATAGCCCTTACTAAATAACTAAATCAGAACTCACATAAAAGGTACTACTTAACTAAAATAAAGTTTTCTACATGAAAAAAGTATAAAAGAAATTACCTTTTCTTGTAGCAACTTTGAGGAAGCTGCATCACGATTTCCTTTTCCACCAGCAGTATTAAAATGAGACCATGGTAAAACTGAATTAAAAGTTAAGGAATCGTCCAAGGCAAAATCTGGTTTCATAAAAATCTATTAAAAAATGTATTTTCCTCAATTAGATAAACATTTTTCATATCCATTAACTCTTCAAACATCATAAGACCATTAAATAATGATTAACTTGGATCTGAAGCATAAACAGCAAAAGCAAGTGATGATAGGTTGATTTACACAAACAAAAATCTGTATAAAAAAAAGTATAGCGTTTCACCACACTAAAAATACTCATGAAAAGATAGAAAAATGTTTTTTGTCTTTACCAATGGAGGTGGTCATTCCATCACTATGTAACCAAATTCACTAATGCGGTCCAACTAGGCACACACCCAAGGGAGATATCCTACTTATCCCAAAATTTGTTATTATTTCCCACTGAGAGTTTTTTTTAAATGTCAAATATCAAACTCTATTTATATTTCTATTTTTTCCTGCTTAAAATGCTTTCAAAATTAGTTTTATAGATAGACATATATTAAATTTTAAAACCAAAACAAATTCAATTTTATGAAAAGGTCATTGTTTTTCCTTTACATACTGTAACTATTTAGGCACTAAGTCCTACCCATTATGCTTTCTAAATAATACTTGAATCCTCTCTCTCCTCTATGTCTAGAGTATTTCATCAATGCAGCCCTTCATTATCTCTGGATTACAGTAAATAGCTATCTACTGATGTCCTCCTTCAATCTATCCCCTATACTAGTGTCAGATATACTTTTAAAATGCAAGTATAACTGAATTAACTTCTGTTTAAATCTCTCAATGGATTCCTATGACCTAAGGACCAAACTCTTCAGAATGGCATCAAAGGCCCTTCATTTTTTTTGAACTTCCTCACCAATTTGTATTTTGCCACTTCCACTATTACAAGTTACATTCTAGCAATACTCAACTTCCATACCCTCTTATGCTTAATTATCTTTGTACATACTTTCAGCCTAGAATATCTTTCCTGACTATTTTCCTAGAAAATACAACCCAATCAAAAGGGCAAACATTATCTCTGTATGCTTACCCCATTTCTGAACACATCAACCACCCCATCTCTTAACACAAGTACATATGCCACATATATTTATATATCTCATATTTCACAAAAATTATTTATTGACTATATGTATCACTCCCTGGAGACTGGATTTATAGCTAATTAATCTTTGTATCTCCAGTACCTAGCATAAGGCCTAAACATGGTTTGACTTACTTAATTTCTATGCTATATTTTATTAGATGTACTGATCCATTTTACCTATGGAAATTCAGCAAGATGGCCAATTATCTTCAGTTGGGAAGAAATGTATTCATGTAAATTTGCCATTTAAGTAAGGTGAAAGATTAGATATGGGGAGTTGAGGGAAAGTCTTCCAGGCTAAAGGAAAAGTACAAGTAAAGAAGAGACCCAGCAAAATAGTTTAACTGAAGTAAAAAAATGTATAAAGATCAATAAGCAAAAGTTGAGTTTGACTATGATGGAAATCAATAATCAAGGGCCTTAAATGACACTTTGAATTTTATTTTGTAGGAATCAAAGTACTTTAAAAATGTCTACCCTCTCCTTTTTGTTTCTGTTGTCTGTGTCTTCTCACCTTAAAGAGTAGTTATCATAGACCTCTTGGAGAATCTGATTAATGCCATGAATCTGATTAATTAACTCTATGGGGGGAGGGGCGGGGGCAAAGAGAAAACACCTATGACACATCTCTATAAAATTTTTCATACAAAGGAAATATCTCTTAATAATTTGAAGGGGTAGCAACATCAACAAAATTCTTTTTCAGAATGGAGACTTAAACATAATTGTAGATTTAGGTAATAAAGAAATTGATGACGGTAAAAGAAAGAAGAAAAGTGATGCACAAAGTGCCAGAACAGGCAAAGTGGTTAGTGTCAGAAGGTCAAATGAAAGCTTCTTATAAGGCAAAATTAAAGATATATAAGATTATAAAAAATTAAATATATTAAAAGCAGTATTCTCATTTATTAAGCTCTGTTACCTTAGGTACTTGCTCCAGATCTGTCCTGGATTTATCTATGAAAAAAAAAAAAAAGAGAGAGAAAAAATATTATTCTTTAAACTTGTTTTCATTTTATTCCATAAAATATATTTTGATCAGATTCTGTACTATGTCACAATTATGTAATCACTTAAATCCCTCAACAAACGTCAAGCCTAGTGTTAAAGCACTGAAAAAATTCCTATGTTTCAAGTAATTTTAATCAATTGTATGGTAGCAAGCAAACGAAATACATTTCAAGTCTTTTTTAAATGGACACAGAAAGCTTGATGCTATCTTAAGTTTGGTGAAATTAAGTTTGGCATATGGTTTTTAAAAATGAATTACAAAAAAATAAAATAAAATAAAATAAAATGAATTCTAATTTTAATTAGAATATAGGAATATTCTAATAAAGGAATACGGCTCTTACTGTTCAAAATACCATCCCACCCAGTATGATCAAAGATTTTGATACCATATTAGGATATTAGTACCCTATTAATTTTCTTCTTAGACATCTTAGTTTGTATCATCTACAAAACTGCAAATGAACCTACTTTACCTTTATTTCACCAACTCAATCTCAGAGGAAGTACCCTCCTTTCCAAAACTAACCTTCCTGGGTTGGACTCCAGGCCCTCCTGCCTCTTCTGTGAGCTCACTTCATCAATCACCCTGCCTCTTTCTGTATCTTCAATCTCTTCCCTTCTAATAACTCTTTCTCTTTGCATATATTCATGCTCAGTTCTCTCCCATCAAAACAAATAGGAAGGAACGGAGGGAGGGAGGGAAGGATTGATCAATTAAACCCAGCGGCCTGGACTAGGCGGATGCAAGGGAGGCCCTCCAGTACAAAACTTAAGGAAGCATTCACTCTCGGTTATGCAAATGCCTCTCCTGCATCGAAGTTCCCAAATTAAGATTTTGTTTGATATTTATGCTATGCTACAAATATCACATATTTATCTACATATTATCTACAAATAGCATATATTCATACCATGAGTATGTAAGAGAGTCCTGTCAAAGGTATCTTTAGGAGGACAAATATTCTTGCATCTCTCATGAATCTTCTCTCTCTATAAAAAAAAAATAACAAAATCAATGCTATGTAGCAATATGAATATTCAAAGCATCAAAATGTTTCATAAAAGAATATGCCAAATTAGTTCTACATTTTTAATGTGAAATCACTAGCCTCCTGAAATTAAACACAAATAACAAGTATGTTTAATAAACCAATATGAACTCTATGAATACGTACATGCTTATACTCATCCCATTTTATATAATTATAATAAAATCTCTATAAATTTGGAATGAAGTGGGAATGCAAATGAAAAATCCTTATTTATATAACAGAAATCAACTGAAAATAATTTTTTAAAACAAGCAAGAAAATGTGAAAATCTATATAAGACAGAAAGGCTATTGGTTGATACTTTCTGAGAGAGAGAGAGAGGGGAGAGAAAAAGAAAGAAACCCTACTCTAATTTCAGATTAGATGATCACTAACAATTCTATCTTTTCAGAGATACCATAAATAGGACACATGGGAAAGTGGGGCATGTAAAGGAAAAAATACTAAGCTAGTAGTGTTCCGAGTTCTGAAGGCAATTGTGGCAGAACCTACAGGACTGTCTCCCAACGTGGCTGTACTATTTTGCAGTCATTGTGGGTCAATTACCCACGATGAATATAAGTTCCTATCAGTCCATATTCTTGCCAGCATTTGGTCACTGTTTTGAGTTTTTGCAATTCTGATAGAATGCTTAGCAGTATCTCATTGTTGTTTTAATTTGCAATTCCCTAATGACATACAATGTTAAACTTTTCATACGCTCATTTGCCATCTTTATGTCTTCTTTCATGAGATGCCTGTTCAGATCTTTTGCACATTTTTTTTATTATGACAAAATACACACAATATAAAACTTACCACTTAAAACTATTAGTGATGTTGACTACTTTTCCACATGCTTATTGGTCATCTGTACATCTTCTTTGGAAAAATGTTCATTCAAGTTCTTTTCCCATTTTTTTAGTTGAGTTATTTCTTATTGTTGATTAAAAGTCAACAAACTCTTAAAAGGAGTTATTTGTATATTTTTGGATACCTATCCTTTATCATACATGTGTTTTGCAAATATTTTCTCCCAGTGTCTAGCCTATATACATTCTTTTACGGTATCTTTCAAAGAGTGGAAGGTTTTAATTTTAACAAAGTCTAACTTGTCAATTTTGTGTTTCATGGATTGTGCTTTTGATGCCACTATCTAAAAAATCATCACCAAATTCAAAGTTATGTATTTTCTCCTATGTGAGCTTCTAGTTTTACAGTTTTACATTTAGATCTACAATCTATTTTCTGCTTATTTATGTGAAAGGTGTGGGTAATCTATGTCTAGATTTTTTTTTCTTTTTTCCCTGCAGGTGGATATCTAGTTGTTCCAGTACCATTTACTCAAAAGACTACTGAATGACCTTTGAACCTGTGTCAAAAATCAGTTGACTGTATTTGTGTGGGTCTATTTTTGAGCTCTCTACTCTGTTTATCTACAAAACAAGCTGTTAGAATTTTAACTGGGATGCATTGAATCTATAGCTATAGAGCAAGCTGGGAAGAACAGACATGTTGACAATATTGAGTCTTCATATCTATATACATGGACTCTCTCTCCATTTATTTAGATCTTCATTGATTCCTTTCATCAGTTTTGTAGTTATCCTCATACAGGTCTTGCAAATATTTTGTTAAGATTTATACCAAAGTATTTCATTTTCTTTGGTGCTAATATAAATGGCACTGTGTTAATTTCAAATTCTAACTGGACATCACTAGCACACAATAAAGCAATTCACTTTTGTAATATAAACCTTGTATCCTGCAAACTTGTTATAACTGCTTATTAGTTCCAGAAGTTTCTTTTCTGATTCTTTGGGATTTTCTACATAGACAATCATGGTATCTGTGAACAATTTTATTTCCTCCTTCCCAGTGTATATATCTTTCATTTCCTTTTCTTATCTCATTGCATAGTTAGAATCTCCAGAGTGATGTTCAAAAGGAGCAGTGAGAAGGAACATCCTTACTTTGTTCCTGATCTTGGTGGGAAAGCATCTAGTTTCTCACAATTAGTTGTAGGGTTTTTACAGATGTTCTTTATCAAGTTGAAGCTTCCCTATATTCCTAGTTTGCTAAGAGTTTTTATCATGAATGGGTACTGAGTTTTTTCAATGTTTTCTCCACATCTATTGATATGAACATATGATTTTTCTTCTTTAGCCTATTAATGTATGGATTACACAAAGTGCTTTTTGAATATTGGATCAGCCTTGCATATCTGGAATAAATCTCAGTTATGGTATAAAATTCATTTCACACATTATTGGGTTTGATTTTCCAATATTTTGTTAAGGATTTCTGCATCCATGTTCATAAGGTATAGTAGTCTATAGTCTTTTTTTTAATAATATCTTTGTCTAATGTCAATGTTAGGTTAATGCTGCCTAAGAATAAGTTAGAAAGTATCCCCTTTGCTTCTACTTTCTGGAACAGGTAATAAAGAACTGGTATAACTTCTTGCTTGAATGGTATAATTCAACAGTGAACCCATCTGGCCCTGGTGTTTTCTATTTTGAAAGGTTATTATTGATTATTATTATTGATTCAATTTCTTTAGTAAGTATAGTCTTATTCGGAGTATCTATTTCTCACGTGTAAGTTCTGGAAGTTTGTGTCTTCCAAGGAATTGATCTATTTCATCTAGGTTATGGAATTTGTAAGCATAGAGCTGTTCATAATACTCTTTTATTATCTTTTTAATGTCCATGAGATCATTAGCGGTGTGTCCTCATTCATTTCTAATATAGCAATTTAGGTCTTCTTTTTTCCTTAAATGACCTGGCTAGACAGCTACCAATTTATTGATCTTCTCAAAGAACCAGCTTTCAGTTTGGATTTTCTCTACTAATTTCTTGTTTTCAGTTTTACTGATTTCTGGTATAATTTTTATTATTTCTTTTCTTCTGTTTTTGTTGTTCTGTTTTGTTTAGTATAGTTAACACAATATTACATTAGTACACAGGTACATATGTACATAGGTGCCTAACATAGTGATTCACCTTCTTCTTAGTTTGGATTTAACATGTTCTTTTTCTGGTCTTCTGCGGCAAAAGCTTAGATTATTAATTTTAGATTTTTTCTTTCCTAATCTATGCATAATGCTACTAAACTTCCCTCTAAGCAATATTTTCACTAACCCACACATTTTGATAAGTTTCTATCAACATTTCCTTAAGCTCACTGATTCTTTCCTCTATCATTTCAAGTCTATTGATGAATTAAAAAAAAAAAAGATTTTATTTATCTTTTCATGAGAAACACAGAGAGGCAGAGGCATAGGAGTAGGGAGAAGCAGACTCCCTGCAGGGAGCCTGATGCAAGACTCAATCCCAGGAACCCAGGATCAAGACCAAAGGCAGATGCTCAACAACTGAGCCAACCAGGTGCTCCAAAACTTTGCAAACTTAAATAAAGTCTGAGACATGCAGTCCTTTCTGTTGTATTCCCTTATTATTATACAGGTGCCCTATTGATATGGTGGTAAAATGTGGGAGGAGGCAAAGCACTCTACAGACCTAGGATTAGGTAGCTTTTCTTTAGTGAGTTTGTGCCCCTGGGCTATGGTCTTTGAAAAGTTTTTAAATTGCTGATTTTCAGTTTGTTCAGATTTTTTTCTTGTGAGAATGGGAGTAGAAGCTTCCAAGTTTCCTACATGCTGAACCAGAAGTATTTTTAATGTTTTAGGAAACCACTAAACTGTTTTCCAAAAGGGTTATACCACTTTAAATTCCCACCAATGGTATATATAAGAGTTCTAGTTATTCTACCAGGACTGATAATAGGGTGAGGCAAGCCTGGAGTACAATACTTAAAGAGGTACCTACTCTTAAATGAATAACAAGCCTTCTTAAACTAAGCACTTTTTCAGTTCTTACTTAGAACTGAGTTTAAAGCAACATATTAAGACTCTCTGCTAGACCTAGCATGCTCTATTAAATTTTCTGTGGTAAATGAAAGACACAGAAACAGTTCTACTCTGCTCATTTCTTAAACCTCACAAATCTGTTTTCTATTGGCCTAACTGAACAATTTTCTCCTTGGTAGGTAAGGTGGATTTCATGATGAATCTTAGCACCATTAGAAAAGTGTATTTTGAAAAATCACTACAGTAAGAGAAATATATGTACATATATCTAAGTAAAGAATTAAATACAACCCAGGACAATAGAATGTATATAGATAGAAAATAATACTGTAAGCTCATCAAAGATTACTGGCCAAAAATCTACAATTAATCAAACTAAAGATCTTTCTTTTCCTTTTGATTAGGTATTACCTGAGAGATTTCCTGTTGATACACTGTAAAATGTTCCTTGCTGATCTGTGGGAGGTAGAATGAAGGTATGACTTCAGTGTCCACAAAGTCCAATCCCCATGTTTTTGTGAAGAAGTCAGATTCTCTTTTTGCTAATCTAGGATCATTTAATGCTGCTGGGAGGTTTACTTTGGAATGATATACAGTCCATCTATGTTGATCTGTAACTAGAGATGGGGCAACACATAAACTATTTGAATCACCTGCAAAAAGTAAACAAGAGAACTCTGTGAACTAAGTTCTACATTTGAAAGTACATCCTAGAAAAAGAAAAATGCTTAGTTCCTACTCTACAAATAGAAATTCTTCTGCAACAAACATTTTAATGAAAATCAGTCTGATTAATAACCTTCAGCTTTCACCAAGGGAAGAAAAGCATGTATAAAATGAAGAATATGCAAAATTTGAGTTGTCATTGCAGGGTGGGGTGAATGGTAAAGAAAATCTTTCATTAATTTCTTTCCTTAATGTACAATTTCTCTTTCCTTTTTCAATTTCCTCTTCTATCTTTCTATTGTATATCTTGTATCCTTTACTACTCCAGATTTTTCACAAATACACCTTTCTTTTATTGTAGTATGGCAGACACACTGGACTCTTATACCCTTTGTTTGGCTTATAAATAGATGACAGAAATGCTGCTGTGGCATTAACCATAGAGGAAAGAAATATTATAGTTGATCCTTGTTATTCATGATAGTTTTGTTCTATAATGTAACAATTAGCAAATACTGAACAATTGCTCCTAGGGGAAATACAGGGTTAGGTACCTTCAAGCCTCTGGTCACAAAATTCTCATCAACTGATCAATAAGTAATCTTATTTTGTGTGTTTCTGTTTAAAGACACCTTATTGAAAATAAAAAATAAAATAAAAATAAAAAATAAAAAATAAAGACACCTTATTTAATATATATCGTTCATTCATTAACACTGAACTCACAACTCACACTGAATGAATTTTCTTCATAAGGCACATACACTGCAGTCTTTCTGTACTTAGAAACACTAGAAAGCCCTTCAGCACTACGTTTGAGAACCATTTTAAACAGCAAAATCACCAATAAAAATCTCAAAAGTGCAAAAAAAATGTGGCATTAATAGACCACAGAAAGGACACTTGTTTATAGCATGAGCGCTAAAACAAGAAGGCAGAGTGCTATCTTGTTCAACCTTAGCTAGGGACATGTGCATCAGGCAATTCAAGTTTTTCATTTCTCTGTGTATGACTGCAAATGACCAAAAAAGTACCACAAGTATTGATTTTGGAGTTATAAATAAGTTTTAGGGAGTAGGCAAATTTCCAAACATGGAATTCAAATAATGAAACTTCACTATACTACGACTAACTAAAAAACTTTAAATCTTAAGCTTCATTTTCAAAACTTTTTTTTAAAGCAATTTACGCAAGTAACTTCTATGGAAATGCATGAAGAGAACTATATTCCAATTTCCCAAAAAGCTTACTTCCAAATAATTGACCTCTTTAGTTTTAAAACTATAAAATTTACTCTTTTAAATACTGCTGACCCTTGAACAATGGGAGGGTTAGAGCACAGATCACCCCCTCCATGTAAGTCAAAAATCCACATATAACTTTAACTCTCCCCAAACTTTACTAATAGCCTATTGTTGACTGAAAGCCCTACCAATAACATAAATAGTCAATTAACACATATTCTGTATGTTATATATATTATATACTGTATTCTTACAAGAAAGTAAGCTCAAGGAAAGAAAATGTTACGAAGAAAACCGTAAAGAAGAGAAAATAGTTATAGTACTCTACTGTATTACAAAAAAAAAAAAAAAAAGACCTGCATATAAGTGGACCCATGCAATTCAAACCTGTGTTGTTCAAGGAGGGTCAACTTGAACCATCAGATTCTATATAGATCTATATATAACGATATATAGATTCTATATATCTATATATATATTCTATATATCTATATATATATTCTATATATCGATCTATATATAGATTCTATATAGAATCTGACTACTCTCTAAAAATAATACAGATCCTCAGTTTAAAAGGAAGGAAGGAAGGAAGGAAGGAAGGAAGGAAGGAAGGAAGGAAGGAAGGAAGGAAGGAAGGAAGAAAGGAAAAAGAAAGAAAGAAAGAAAGAAAGAAAGAAAGAAAGAAAGAAAGAAAGAAAGAAAGAAAGAAAGAAAGAAAGAAAGGCATTACCTGTGGGTTCCTTAGGACATACGTCTGGCAGTGACTGCACAGGTCGAATGTGTTTTGTTGGATCTACCTCTTTTTTAAAGAAAACATCACTGCTGCTTCCTTGAGGCACTGGTGAAGAACTGTGGCTTGAAGCCATTGCATAAAATCACCACTCAACTGAAAACAAGTAACAAGTAATCATCAAGACACTTAACATAATCAAAGTTCATCTATAAGTATGATGCATGCCTCAAATTTTCTTTAAAAAAGACCCCTTATCCAAAATCCCTCAAGCTGTAAGTACACAATTTAAATACTATTAACTGTAAGAGTCACTCGTAATAGTTTACTAAGAAAGTTGTTTGTCCTTGTTTGAAAACTATTCTCCTCGAAGTGAAATATCCTTAGTCTTTTATCCCACGTACAAATTATCCCACGTACAGCTGTAACTAATATATATTAGAGATGAAAACACCCATTCATTCAACAAATATACAGTAATTATGCATTATAGCAAAATGGGTAAGTGAATGAGTTTTTGAAGTCTGACTGCCTGGGTTCTTTCACTTAATAGCAGAATAATCTTTTTTTTTTTAATAGCAGAATAATCTTAAGGAAATTTATTTAACCTTTGTGTCTCCGACCTCATCTGTAAAAATGGAGATGAAAAGAGATCCCATTTCATAAACATTTTGTAAGATTACAAGAAATGGATATATGTAAAGCATTTAAAACAATGCTCATCTCCACTAAGTGTTATACTATATGTGGGCAAATTGAATTTAAGTAATATATTTAAATTTAAAAAATCATCTACAATAAAAAATAAAACAATGCTCATATCAAAGTTAGTGTTCACAAAAGCTAATTATCATAATTATCACTATGTGGACTGTCACTATATTAAATGATTATAAAAGAAGTGTGATTCTTCATGGTGCCTACAATTACATTAAGTAATCAAAACAATCAAAACACTTAGGAAAACACAAGTTAACCTATGTCTACATTTTTTCGTAAGTCCCAAAAGAATTTGTGGGGCAAGCCAACATAATATAAGCTACAGTGCCAGGTAGAACTTTACAAATGAAGCAGTACATAACCTGGATACTGAAGAACATGTATTGTTTTATTATTGGAGGGTAGATAATCTTATATCGCAGGGTATTATCTATCAAATAGCACGTATTCAGTAAACATTTTTCAATGAAGAAATAAATAAGCATAATCAGAAGTTTATAGCTGAAAGGGAACTTAGAGATCACCTTGTCTAAGTGTAAGCCCTGAAAGACTAGGTAGCTTACAAAGATACGTGTATTTCAACAAATTAAAAAAAATAATAAAAAGAAAAGAAAGGCCTAGTAAGGAAATCTGGTGAATAGAATAAGAATATGAAATAAAGAGCAGAGACATAAGGCTAATAAGAACGATGACAAAAAAGTTCATCTAACTTCCCTCTAGTTTATCAGAAAGCTAAAACTTACATTTCCCAGACTTCTTTGAATATCTGTCACAGTCCTCCTAATGCAAAGGAAACACATCCAATTACACCACTCACTGAGACCATAAGAAACAAGCTGTTAAGAAAATGCACAAAGATAAATAACTTCCCTCAAGGTCCCTGACCAGAAAGCAAACGCTACCATAAAAAAAAGGGACATGGAATAATCCTAAAATGATGTGGAAACTGACATGGTTAGAGTAAAATGTTTGCATTGGTAAGTACTGACAAATCATATTTTATTTACACACACACACACACACACACACACACACACACACAGAGTATGGTTAGACAAATTAGTCAGAGAGCTTTGGCTTGCAAGGCATCACTGACCTGTAGAAGTTACACCCATTCACATTAAGTATATGACTGTTTTTGTATAAAAGCATCATATATTTGAAAGAGAAAAAATAAAGAATAGGAAATATTGTATAATACATAATCCTGTATATTAAATGTTCAGTAGGACAATTCTAAATTTAACATTAAATCTAACCTTTTAATTAATTTCATCAAACAAAATGGCTAAACTAAAAACATTTTGACATATTAAAGAGGGTAGCTACAAATATCTGGAAAATGTATTTATGCTGAATGCCCATTGCTTGATGTCAGATAAATTAAATATTGATTCCAACAATAGCACACTACAATCTCAATTTATTCTATTTACCATCATGTCATTTTAACAGCAAGGAAAAATCCTAAGTGCCATCTCAGCCAGAAATACTTGAGGAGATGGGGACTTGTACAAAAACATTTCTATTTCTAGACTCCTATAAATTACTTCAGTATCTGGGCGAGGGCGGGAGCAGGGGAGGGACACCTTATTTATTCATTAAAAATTTTGAATTGGGGATCCCTGGGTGGCGCAGCGGTTTGGCGCCTGCCTTTGGCCCAGGGCGTGATCCTGGAGACCCGGGATCGAATCCCACGTTGGGCTCCCAGTGCATGGAGCCTATTTCTCTCTCTGCTTCTCTCTCTCTCTCTCTCTCTCTCTCTCTCTGTGTGTGTTACTATCATAAATAAAAAAAAAATTTTTGAATTGGGAAACATGCAGATTTTCTGTTTTTTTCCTACACCTCTCCTAATTCTTAGGAAAAGAGGGAAAATCTCTAGCTATAAAGAGATTATGTAAAATTAGGGGACTGTCTACATAGGTGAGTCCCAATTTTAAACCATTTGACTCTCCATTTCCTTCAACTATCCTGAGTTAAGATTTCCCCACAGTAAGAACTAAAATTTGTATTAATGACCACATAAATATGGTAGATACTTGGTATGTGCAATCATTGTTAAAAAAACATTATGGGTTTATTCATAAGGCATGGATGCATAACAAATACAGCAAATCCCCATGGCCTCTAAACTAATTTCAGAAAAAAAAAAAATCTTTCCTTGAAAGGCTAAAGAACAAAAATAATAAGGCATCTTAGTAAGAAAGTTTCTCTAAGAATAGTCTATCCAGGAAAAAAAAATAGCAAAAATAAAAACAAAAAACATAGAATACAGGGAAAAGGAAAGCTCTAAGAACCAAATGCAGGTAACCGATGATTTCCAATACCTTCGCTTGTAACAACTAGAAACAAATTTGGCATGTAATCAGTCGTCCCATAATAAGAATCTATAAATCACTCTACAATTCTTCATCTGATCATCTTTTCATAATTTTAACAATACCATACTCAACTGTTTTCTTGAATCCTTTGGTTTCTCACATTTAGTCACCGTTTATGTATTTCTATTTTTTGCAATAATCATACTGAAATTTTGGTCTTTATATAGGTCTTCTCTATTAGACTATGAACTTCTTGATGTTTCCATTTTCCTATGTATTCTATGTGCCTAAAGCAGTTCCTGGCGCACAAACAGTATATAATGAATACTTTAAAGATGAATGAAATGGGTGGTGTGTAGAACAGATCAGAAGAGAAATGTTAGACAGTTTCTCATAATCCTTTAGTGAATAGATAAGAGCATGGGTATGAGATGATAAGTAGAATACTTATGAAATCTTTTGTAAAACTAAAATGGTGTAAAGTGAAGAAACGGTTACCATTAATTTATACGGAAAAATGTTTGTTTTAGGCTGTTCCCTGAACGTAGAATACCCTACGTTCAAGGAACAAGTGAAAAGTATACTTATCCCCACAAAGAAACCATGGTTCATTGAAGAAATACCTGAGTCCAGACCTGGAGCAAAGAAAGAACATGTTGATCCTTGGGAACTCTTGTGTCAGAAAGCAAGTAAATGCTCAAAGACAGACCAGAAGAATTGTCAAAAGAACAAAGGACCAAGTTAAAGAGGCTCCAAGAGGCTCCCACTGGCCACATGGGGGAAAATCTGAGCAAAAAAAAAAAAAAGAAAAGAAAAGAAAAGAAAGCTACCTGAGCATAATCTACTGGATAAATAAAAAATAATGAATACAGAGTAATACTTAGGGGAAAACAAAGAAATGAGGAAAAGGGGATGGAGTGGGATTAAAGAAAGGAAAGTTCTTCTTTGCAGAAGAAAGCCAGTAATAAATGTAGAAAGAATAACTGAATGAGAAAATCATGATTTTGTAATCCCAATGTAAAAACTAATTGAGGCAAAGATCATCAACATATGCTAAAGTTATTAGGTGAAAAGTTGTTCAGAAACAGAAAACTCACCTAGTGCCAAAGTGTTACCCCCCAGAGATTACTTAGCAATGCAAAGGGGGAATGAATCTTTTTTTTTAAGATTTTATTTATTTATTCATGAGAGACAGAGAGAGATAGAGAGAGAGGCAGAGACACAGGCAGAGAGAGAAGCAGGCTCCATGCAGGGAACCTGATGTGGGACTCGATCCCAGGACTTGATCCCGGGACTCCAAGATCACCCCCTGGGCCGAAGGCAGGAGCTCAACCGCTAAGCCACTCAGGGATCCCCAGGAATGAATCTTTAGTATCTGGCTGTCACTACCTAACTAAGTCATCAAACTTGGCATCATTAATAACAGTAAAACAACTTAATATTAAGTGATTCATGAAATTATAAATGTGATCACCTATGAAGCATTTCTCACCAAAAATGCTTAACCCAATCTAATTAAGCCTCTAAACCAGGGGTTAAGCTTTTCTGCCCTGAGGATTCCTTGGCAATCTGGTGAAGTCTACAGACCCCTTCCCAGAATAATGTCTGTAATGTATAAAATACATTGGATTACAATGGACAACTATACTGAGATAAATTTTTTTAAATACAATATATAGGGGGATCCCTGGGTGGCGCAGCAGTTTGGCGCCTGCCTTTGGCCCAGGGCGCGATCCTGGAGACCCGGGATCGAATCCCACATCGGGCTCCCGGTGCATGGAGCCTGCTTCTCCCTCTGCCTGTGTCTCTGCCTCTCTCTCTCTCTCTCTGTGACTATCATAAATAAATAAAAAAAATTTAAAAAAATAAATAAATACTATATATAGTAATTTTTTGCTTCTCAATTAATGCAAACCTATCTTAATTTCTAAGCAATAAGTGAAATATTTCAAGGTACCTATAACAAATTAATGCAACATGAAAATAGTTGAAATTTCTACCAATGACAAAGTTACAGGTAGTACTAATACCCCTGTGAAGGATTACCTACACTCATAATTAAAGGAAATGCTAAAATCCAGTTAAAGCACGGTTTCTCAACCATGGCATCATTCAGACTTTGAGCTGAATAATTCTTTGTTATTGAGTGTTGTCCCCCTATACATTGTAGGATCTTTAGATGTATCCCTGGCCTCTATCCACTTGATGCCAATAGCACCCTCTCCTCCTTCTCCACACAAAGTTATGACAACCAAATATGTATCCAGACAAAGTCAAACATCCTGGGGTGGGGGAAAAGAGGGGAGAGGATAAAATCACCCCAGCTGAGAGCCACCAGTTAAAATAAAGATAATCATCAGATAAATTAACATATGGACTGATTGAAGGTACTAGTACCAATTCTTAAAATAAGTATTAATAAAGGTTCATTTCTTTTTTTCCTTAGATAAAAGAAATGAATAATCCTTAAGCTGGGTGAAACCTTACACAGGACTTTGGACTTGATCCACAAGACTGGTAAATCATTATAAACTTTAATCCATCACTCTAGGAGATTATCAGTATGCAGGGCCAAAAACAGAATCTAAGAGGATTTAAACATTTCTTAAGAAAGAAATGAGAGATATAGGGGCACCTGGATGGCTTGGTTGGTTAAGCATCTGACTCTTAATTTTGGATTACATCATGATCTCAGGGTTGTGAGATTGATCCCCAAGTAGGGCTCTGTGCTCAGCAGACCTCTGCCTTTCTCCCTCTCTCTCTGCCCTCCCTACCATGCGTGTGTGCACACGTGCATGCTCTCTTCCATAAATAAATAAATAAATCCTGAAACAGCAGAGCACCTGGGTAGCTCAGTCGGTTAGGCGTCAAACTCTTTGATTTCAGCTGGGGTTGTGGTCTCAGGGTTGTGAGATCAAGCCCCAAGTTAGGCTCCACATATGGGCTCTCCCTTTGCCTCTGCCCCCCGCCTTCGTGCGCTCTTTGTTTTTTGTTTCTCTTTCTCTGTCTCAAAAAAAATAAGATCTTAAAAAAAAATGTAGGAAAAGTTTGAAAAGTTTGTGATAAAGAAGAAACATCCAAGAAAGTGAGAGAAAAATCAATTCAGAATTCACAAATAAAAGGGAAAAAAAAAACATCATTTAGATTTGGCAATTAGGCAGTGACCAGTCACATCAGAAACAATGTCAAGTCCAAGAGTGGGTGTGGAGGCCAGACTGCAGATGTTGGAGTAGAACCCACAATTATATGGTCAACTAATCCTTGACAAAGTAGAAAAGAATATCCAATGGAAAAAAGGCATTCTCTTCAACACATGATGTTGGAAAAAAATTGGACAGCAACATGCAGAAAGAAGAAACTGGATCATATACAAAAACAAATTCAAAATGAAAGACCTAAATGTGAGACAGGAATCCATCAAAATCCTAGAGAACACAAGCAGCAACTTTTTGGACCTCAGCCACAGCAACCTCTTACTAGATGTTTTTAAAGGAAAGGGAAGGCCAGCCCGGATGGCCCAGCGGTTTAGCGCTGCCTTCAGTCCAGGACGTGATCCTGGGGACCCGGGATTGAGTCCCACATTGGGCTCCCTGCATGGAGCCTGCTTCTCCCTCTTCCTGTGTCTCTGCCTCTCTCTCTCTGTGTGTCTCATGAATAAATAAATAAAATCTTTAAAGGGAAGCAAAATGAATTACTGGGACTTCATCAAGATAGAAAGCTTCAACAGCAAAGGAAACAATCAACAAAACTAAAAGGTAACCCATGGAATGGGAGAAGATATTTGCAAGTGGCATATCAGATGAAGGCCTAGTATCTAAAATCTATAAAAAAAACTTATCAAATTCAACACACCCCAAAAAGGAGTCCAGTTAAGCAAAGGGCAGAAGACATGAATAGATATTTTCCCAAAGAAGACATACAAATAGCTAACAAACACATGAAAAAATGCTTAATATCACTATCAGGGAAATACAAATCAAAACAAGGAGATACCACTTCACACCAGTCAGAATGACTAAAATTAACCACTCAGGAAACAACAGATGTTGGCAAGGGTAAGGAGAAAGGGGAACCCTCTTACACTGTTAGTGAGAATGCAAACTGGTACAGCCACTCTAGAAAACAGCATGGAGGTTCCTCAAAAAGTTAAAAATAGAACTACCCTACAACCCAGCAATTGCACTACTAGGTGTTTATCCAAAGGATACAATCACAGTTATTCAAAGGGGTATATGCACCCTAATGTTTATAGCAGCAATGTCCACTATAGCCAAAACATGGGAAGAGCCCAAATATCCATCAACTGATGAACAGATAAAGAAGATGTCTCACTCACACACACACTAGGATATTACTCAGCCATCAAAAAGAATGAAATCTTGCCATGCCATCTGCAATGACATGGATGGAACCAGAAGGTATTATGTTAAGCAAAATAAGTCAGAGAAAGACAAATACCCTATGATTTCACTCATATGTAGAATTTAAGAAACAAAACAGATGAACAAACATAGGGGAAGGGAAGGATAATGAAAATAAGACAAAGAGGGAGGCAAACCATAAGAGACTTTTAAATATAGGGACAAACTGAGGGTTGGTGGAGAGGAAGTGGGGTAACTGGGTGATGGGCATTAAGGAGGGCACTTGATGTAATGAGCACTGGGTGTTATATGCAACGGATGAATCACTAAATTCTACCCCTGAAACTAACACTACACTATATGTGAATTAACTTGAATTTAAATCAAATCCTGAAAGGAAAAAAAAAAAAAAGCTGAAGTGGAATTGGTAGGGAGATTAAGAAACAAAGGCTATACTTTCAAGAGACTCAATTATGAGATTACACAACAGAACAAAATAGTAAAATAATAATAGTAAAATGCCATTTGATATAAAAACTACATAGCTCTAGATACACATAATATATGAAAAGGTATACAACAAAACATTATCTGCTTAGTGGCATAACAAGCCTCTCCTGACCACTGTATCTAAGCACATCCTCTCCCTTCCCTTCCACTGCTCCTCACTAGCATGATACTTTGTGATCTTTGTAGTATTTGTTTAAATTATAACCAATTATTTACCTGTTAATCTTCTGTCTCCCTCACTATACTGAAAACCTATACTTGCTTCATTCACCTTCCTATACCACATTTAGCAAAGTCTAAGCAATTGGTAAAATGCATGAAACTTCAATGAATAGGGATGCCTGGGTGTCTCAGTTAGTCAAGCATCTGCGTTCAACTCAGGTCATAAACCAGGGGTCCCTGGATCGAGTCCAGCACTGGGCTCCCTGCTCAGCAGGGAGTCCGCTTCTTCCTCTCCCCTTGCCCCTCCCTCTGCTCCTGCTTTCTCTCTCTCTCAATTAATTAAATTAATTAAAAATTTTTAAAAAGTTCAAGGGACGCCTGGGTAGCTCAGTGGTTAAGTGTCTGCCTTCAGCTCAGGGCGTGACCCTGGAGTCCCAGGATCAAATCCCACATCGGGCTTCCTGCATAGAGCCTGCTTCTCCCTCTGCCTGTGTCTCTGCTTCTTTCCTCCTCTGTGTCTCTCATGAATAAATAAATAAAATCTTTTTTAAATTTTTAAATCAAATTAAATTTTTAAAAAGTTCAATGAATGGATGAACAAAGGAATTAATATCAGGGATAAAGAGGTAATAAGCACAAATAAGCCACTAACAATGTCCTATCTAAAAACATACGAAGTCAACATTATCTTGTTTGTAGGACATTACCTGACTTTCTAAAATTTTATTCTAGAGTCTCTACATTCTTGTAACACAGTATATAAAGTATACTTAAGAAAATTGGCCATAAAGTGAATTAGATATCGAACACTTATTAGTTGTGTGACCTTGACAACTTTCTTACCTTCCCAAGTCTCAGTTTCCTTATTTGTAAATGGGACAGCAACGGTATCTTTCTCATAGGAATGTTGTAAAACTTAAATATAACTTACATAACCTATGTAAACTCATCGCACAATACTTGGCACATAGTAGACATTCAATAAAAAAACTGCAACTACTACTATTTACTATTATCAACATCTTAAGTATTAACATTTGGACTGGGCCATAGAAAGTTTTAAAATCAATTTAAACCTTAGGTTCCTGAGCCTCCTCTATTAGTGTCCTTTGCTTGACTGCTCCTAGTTTGTGGAGAGAGGAGGCAATGAAGTTATATAGGCACATATAATTTTTTTTAAGATTTTATTTATTCATGAGAGAGAGAGAGAGAGAGAGAGAGAGGCAGAGACACAGGCAGAGGGAGAAGCAGGCTCCATGCAGGGAGCCCCATGTGGGATTCAATCCTGGGACTCCAGGATCACGCCCTGGGCTGAAGGCAGGCACTAAACCGCTGAGCCACCCAGGGATCCCGGGCACATATAATTTACTATCAACAAAGTAGCCCAAGAATAGAACAGTCGTCCTCAAAGCCATACACATAAAAGGAGAGAAAAAAGAATACTGGAAAATGATGTTGAAACTAGAAAATAGGTGGCCTAGAAGAGAAGCAAGTTTGATGACAAATACTATGTGAGAGAGAAAGGATGAGGGAGGGAAGGCAGAGGCAGATGATTTGGAAAACATCTGAATAAAGGTCAAAGTTGAATCCATGGGAGCAGATAAAAATTGTAATCTTGAGTTGGAGGGGACTTTTTTTTAAAAGATTTTATTTATTTATTTGAGAGAGACAGAGAGACAGAAATAGCAACAGAGAACATAGGCAGGGAGCAGAGGGAGAAGCAGACTCCCCACTGAG